GGATAGATACTTTATTATCTTGGAGATCATTTGGTATTATACCACAGGAGGAAAAGTCGAATCTACGAGTTGACAACTATGGGGAAAAAAGAAAATGTATAAGTATAAACTACATTCATAGTGACGACGACAGATAGTTGTAAAACAATACAATACAATGGAAAATGATACGTTCAAATATCATCTTGACCATTCTTAAATTTTGTCCATGTTTGAGGTCAAACCCACCTACGATGATATGACTTAAAAGCTAGTAGTCGTATAAGGAACCTGGAACATTATTTTCATGATTTTTCCCGGATATCTGACCTTGGCCATGACATTTAAAGGTCGACTCTTTTTAATCGCAAACACCGGTGCGAAAATGGAGAAAAGGGAAAATTTTATGTTCGAGTATGTCCTTGACCATTTTTAGAACTTAACCTTGGACTTGACCATCAAGGTCAAACGCAGGCTTACATTAATTTTTTGATAATTCCGAAACTGTGTAATTCCCAGATTTACTTCGCTGTTCTTTCAGGATTGTTCCTGGGCAATAAAAATCGACCACATGATCTTCTAGGTCATTTGAAAATAATACTAATAATAATAATAATAAATGGCCTTTATTCGTCACACGATTACAAAATAATTGGTTTAAATAATTGGTTTAAAAGGAACAGTGACGAAAAGGTGGAGTGTCAGCTTATGCTGTTTTTCAACCCGACCTGAATAAAATTGATTTTGACAAAAATGCGTGACATTCAGACAGTTAAAATCGTGTACAACACGAAATTCTAAAGTATTAAATAGGAAACGGTAAGACGCTTATGAGGGTTTTCTCTCTTTCTCTCACCATTGGGATCTGGTTTTCTCTCTTTCTCTCACCATTGGAATATCAGAAGCGGTAAGAGAAACCATGTAGGTTAATTGATGCAACGTTTCGCATTTACGTAACTAAGAAAATGACACTCAAGTGTTTCGCAATGTTCCAAAAACCGTTTTTATTTTTTTCCTAACATTGCTACTTTTTTCCTCTACGTTTACGTGATGGCATAATTAGAATTTCAATATGACGTTTTGTATCTTGTCTTCAATCATTAGCTTTCTTTTTTCTTACAGACGCCATATTGGAGTTCTGCTTAACTTAGTTATTTTAAAAAAACAGAATTAGTAGTAGTAGGCTTAAAAATTATCAGTCTTCTTTCATAATATTCCATTCCATCTCAAATGAAGTAGGGAAAAACTATAAACGATTTTGGGAAAATTCAGTCCCATGCGTCTAGCTCAGGAAATTCTCGGAATTACGAAACTTTCTATGTTGCGTTTTCTTAGTCACCTAAATGCGTAACTTTGCCCCATTAATCGACATCGTATCTTCCACCGATTTCAAAGTCCCTATTGTCAGAGTCGAGTTTGAAAGACCTGGTATACAAAGATTTTATTACAAAGACGAAATGTTCGTCTAAATAGTGAAGATAATTACATACCTACAAAAACAAAAATAAAAACAGTATCAATATACACTGAGATCAAGACGTCATAGCTTGAAAGATGGTATAAAACACATGCACATAAATATACAATAAAGTCAGTAAATCTGTAAGTACAATGGGCACCGAACGTGGAGGACAGACAATCAAAAGAAGAGCATAGAATAAACTCTTGAGAATCCGCCATTTTGATTACCGTGTCAACCGGGTAGACGCCTTATTAAGAATGTACAGGCACTCAGTCTCCTGTATGCTGCCTGAGTATCGGAAGACATTGTTGTATTAAAAGGTAGTAAAGCTGAACATTTTAGTGACCAGAACTCACCCTGACTCTGGCTTCCGTGAGGTTCGTCCACATGGCGATCTCCTCCCTGGTGCTCATGTCGGGGTACCGTTCCTAGCGAACGTGGCCTCCAGCTCCTGTAACTGCTGGCTGGTGAAGTGTGTCCGTTGACGACGTGCCGTTGTTCTTCTTGTCGTTCTTGCCGTCTTCAGGTTCGGGAGGGTCTGATGATGTTACACCGGCTTCAGTTTTGATCGGGTCTGTCAGGGATCTGCTTGCTGTAAAGAAACCTTCAGTCAAAACCAAGGCATACGGAATTCTGGTGTAAGGTCATTCAGCTGTCAAACCATTTTCTTTTACGTCACTTCTATAAAGGTAGTCATTGGAATTTTATATTTTAGTAAGATTTTGTCTGTAACTTCACCAAACTGGTTCTTTCTTCACAAACTACAAAGCTCTTTCGTATTATACCAACATTTCATCAAAATCCGACCGGTATTCTCCAAGTTATAGCGACGGAAATACGAGTATATCCACAAAAACATTATCTCATTTTCGAAATTCATCGGATGCAAGGAAATATTTCACACGACTTCTAATTTTGTAAAGCATGCTGGTGCTGGTTAGGAAGCCTCAACATTAAAGATTTTTCCGTTTTAATTCCACGCCACTGTAGAGGAAAATTTCGAAAATAAGGTAGGTATTATGTTTTTTGTGCGTTATATGAAATGTACCTACATCACCAAAAATTATGACACTAATTTTCGCCTATCTGTCTGTCTGTCTGTCAGTCTGCCCGTCTATAACTTGGAAAGTGCCAGTTGGATGTTGCCTAGAACGTTTCTTTGGAATGCCCTTAAGACTATTTCACATTAACGTCTTTCTAAACTAAACTAATTTGTCATTGAAAATGACTTCACTGTTTTTCGAAATATTCTCCATTATACTTTATACACTTTTTCAAGCGTTCGAACCATTTTTCATAACACATTTTCCACTCCGCTTGAGATACCTCCAAAACATACTATATATGAACTAAATCGGGACTGTATGGAGGATGACCCATTAATCAATATTCTCAGTGCTCAAATAGTCCTTTGTTGGATTTGGCTCGTCTTGAAACACCCATACAGACTACTGTTGTTTTCTTTCCGGCTCATAAGGCATAGATCCATGATTCGTCACCAGGCGCGGATCCAGGGGGGGGGGGGTCATGGCCACTAAAATATGTTAAATAACGTGCATTACTACAGGATATATACTGGGCACTATTTGCGAAAGTGATATTCTCCACATTTATCGCTATTTGCAAAATAATGACGACAACTGAATATAAAAAAAATAGAAAGACCTGCACAATTAACCGAAACAAGCTCATGTATAGTGCAAAAGGGTTTTAATAGTAATTTGATGCAAAAAGTTAATCTGATGCTGCTTAAACGTACCAATAAAATAGCTAATTCAACTGTTTCAATATTCACGCGGATCTAAATTTTTCGAAACGTTGTTCAATATTTTATAGATAAAAATGTATAAGATGGCACAAACTGCTATTCTTGAGTATTTTTGGTGAAATCATTCCTTTGTGGGGGCCTACAGAAAGTTGTTCTAATTGAAGAGCAGGGGTAACAACCAAATATTGAAGAGGGAGGGGGTCATTACCCCCACTGGATCTGCCTTTGGTAAATACTGGCATGTATCTTGTAGGGTTATCTAAAGTTCTTCCAAATTCTGCTAGCTTTTGACTGATCATCAAACAAACTTTTTACCATCACCACTTGTATAAACCCAACAATACACATTATGAAAAGTTGACATAATGAATAAGTGTTAACTTTGAAATAATTTTCTTCAGCCATGTTTCTATCTCTAGCTTCATCTGCTTTGAGTGCATCTTGTAGATGTGTTGCTGTATTTAGATGTGCTCTAACTTTGTTTATAACGTCTTGGACATCTACTATTTGTAAATCTAGAGCTTGGCCGGACTTCAAGGTTTCATCATCAAAGTCAAAAGATTCATCATCAGCCCACTCATCTTCTAAGCCAATGGAGATTTCAAAATAAACAGTTTTAGCATTATAAGAACTGAAACTGTTGTCGAAACAGAATCTCCAGTCGCCATCTGCGACAGACTCGGCAGTATGAGTGTTTTCAGACCTCTTGTAGTCAGCAACTATGATTTTTCCTGTGGGGTCCACGAGGTGAAATGTGATGTCCAATTCGCCGTGGCCTCCGTCTATTACTTGGTAGTCTACGTCGATTACATCGCCTTTCTTAGCGCTCTGGTAGAAACAGTCTTCTCTGCTGGGGTCTATGTAAACCGTTAATTCTTTACGTATTGCTGATCCATACTGTATCAGGCAAAGGATGTGCAAATATAATACGTACTCCTTCATTTTAAATTTCTAGGTGAGTTTACTGTATATGTGTAAGTAAGCTGAATATTTCACATTTTATTTTTAATTCAAATAAGATCCAAGCAATTCGCCGGTTATTCTTAACAAAAAGATAATGACACTTCAAAATATTTGGACAGCTTTTGATCGGACTTCCAAATACTCGCAGTAACGTTTGTTTGTTTCTAGCCACTGTTGTCAAGTATTCAAATTGCCTTTCCATTACTTACTCGTTTGAAATCAGTTTCTTTGTTCTCTCACATTTATAATATCTGGAATCTTGCAGACCCACAGCCAGTAAGAGAAAGACACAATATTATTATTTTTTGTTTTGCAGTTGGTAATTATTCCTCCTTATCATTAACAAGATTGTTGGTTGGTCAAAAAAAACGACGCTGACTAAACACAAAGTGAGATCTACTTCATCGTAAATCATCCATATACAGTTTAAATACATCAGCTTGGACACAACTTTATTTATTTAGGAAGTTACAATAATTTATAAATCAATTAAATATTCATCAATTTTGTGAAAAATGTATGACTTGGCAACATTGCGTAAAAAAATAATCTATGAATATGAATCGGGTACACTTCGAGCTTAGGGAATACGGGCGAAGTAAACAGAAACCGATTCTTTTTAGTAAATCGGAAACTGAGGCGTAGTTACAGAATTTGAAAAATAGGCGTGGTTGACGTTTGACTTTTAGATATGCCATTTGTTCTAGCTGACTGGCACAGGAACGGATCCATCTCTTCATCTCTTATGCTTAAAGGTTATGTTTTTTATTTACTTTTGCCGGTTCATATGAATATCTTGATTGACAAATATTTTTTGCTTTTCTTGAAATGAAAGGTTTTGATTTGATGAAACAAGGGGCTGAGGCAAGGCTCTACGTGGGAATGTATTTAGGAAAGCCGACGATAGCAAAAGAAAGATTCAAGAAGGCCTACAGACATGAAATTTTGGATGACTTGTTGACCAAAGAGAGGATCAAAGCTGAAAGTAGAGCTATAGTTCGCTGTAAAATGGCCGGAATCAGAACCCCAACTATATATTTGGTTGACTTTAACAGACGAATAATCTTCATGGAATATTTCACAAATAGTATTACTGCAAAGGAAATGATTGAGAATCAGTCACAATCAACTGATAAGACTTTGGAACTGTTTTCATTGGAACTTGGGAAACTATTAGGAAGAATGCATGGAGCTAACATCATTCATGGTGATTTAACATCCTCCAATATCCTCCTAGTAAATAAAAATTTTGAAAATCTGTTTAATCATATGCAAAACTTGGAAGTTGTTCTTATTGATTTTGGACTGGCGCACATAGAATCTAACACAGAAGATAAAGCAGTGGACTTATATGTGTTGGAACGAGCACTATTAAGTACTCATAGCATAGCAGATAAACTTTTTGATAAAATTCTTGAAGGATACAGGGCACATTATAAGCAAGGCAGTAAAGAGGTCTTGAAAAAAATGGATGAGGTCAGAGCAAGAGGAAGGAAAAGGACAATGGTGGGATAGAAAATATTGTTTTCAGAAACTTTTACGTTTTGATCAATAAATGTATTATAATAAATTCCAAAAGTCGCATTACTTCGATAATCTGGCTACACTGCAATATTAATGTCAATTGTCTTTTTGATCGGCGTTGCCAACAAAAAGTGTCCATCACCTGTCACTAACAGCTGTTTTCCGTTTTCTCTAGGATTTTGTTGAAAGATTTTGAATTGACTCATTTTACAATTTAATAAAATTTCTTTTGGTAAAACATGGTTAGTTGAAGAGGAGATACGCGCGTTGATCTGAAAATGAAAGACAAACTAGTTGTCATACCCGGTGAGGCGTCAGAAACTGATTCCGAAGATGAAAGTAGTCCAAAAACTGTGAGACCTTTTAAAAACGTCTTTGCCTAATAAATTGTTACCCGTGATTCGTTTTTAGAAAGAAGTTCAAGCAGTACAAGGAGCTGCAATTGTAGGTGAAGATTCAGAATCTGAAAATGGTATTTCAAACATTCACTTCAATATTTTAAGTTACTGAAGTTTGTCTAATTTGCAGAGAACGATCTTAGCATTGCTAGTGCAAGATCAGCTCTTGAAAATTCTACTATCCAAGACACAACTCCAGAGGAACCCAAATATGACTCTCTGTTCCATCAAAAATTGAGTAAGACTTGTAATTTTAGATAGGCAGTTTCATAGACTGATTGACATATGTTTTCAGAGGAATGTAATATCCAACTTCACAATGATATCCAAATGTTTTGCCAGAACACAATATCTGATGCAAACAGGCAGTTAAATTCTATTGACCAACATTTGCTCAAATCTCAGTTGACTCTGCAAAATGCTGTTATATCACTAAAAACTATCAATATTAATACCTTAAAGAGTAGATTACATACTTTACTGTCTGCAAATTTTCTTTCCAATGTAAATTTGAATTGTGAGAATAAAAATCTATAAAAAACATAGGTCTGTCATTTCAACCTTAGATGTGTCACAGATTTCTTTGTGTCATTTTGGTTGTGAAAAATTTATTTGTAGCAGGGTCAATGTTCTTTAAGAATGGCAGTGGATAAGAAAAATCCAGGGGTTGTAAGAAAGAGAAAATTTAGATTCTTAAAACACTTCAGGTATCTTCCAGGGTCTGTGACAACAGACAAAAATAAGGCAGATTTGGAGACCTATAATCAACATAGATATAAGGTAAAAATTCTCATTTTTTATATGTTTCCTGGTAAAAAGTCAATGCTTGGGGGATAAAATTATTGTAATAATGAAAATAGCACTAAATCACCTCATCTTTATCTAGTGTTTTTATGCATCACCAAAAGTGGACTGCTATCCAGCAACACTGAATCCTTACAACATTTATGACACAAAAAAGTTGAGAGAACAGCTGGCAAAGACTCAACAAATAGATAAAGAAAATAAAGAGCTACTAAAGAAGATTAATTTGATAAATAGACATGGTGTAAGTTCCAAAAAGAGTGTTTTTGAACTGAAACAAATTAATTCGGCAATAATTCTTGTTTAGTTGCAATGTCTGTGCGGTCTTGGCTGTAAATGACAAAAATTCGATATTATAGGGAAAAGTGGACACTTTCAACGAACACGCATATAGAAGACTAGAATTTTGGAGGTCTCATGAAGCTATGATGCACAAAATAGTTGAACTCAATAAAGTAATATACAATAGACTAGTGTCTGCAGTAAGTTTACTTACGTCCTAAATTAAAAAAATCAGTGATCAAAAAAAAATAATTACAGGTGTCAAGATATCCAACAGATACCTATATAGCAGACTGGAATAGAATGCTGGTAAACATAATGCATAGTTGTAAATATCCTTTCGCAATTTTGAAAAAGGAGGATAAGGACAACACATTGGCTGCCCAACCTTCTATCAGTGCGGGATTAGCGCTTTTATCACAACCTTCTTCAAGACCTCGGTAAATAGACGAGGCAAAAAACCTCCCCAAGGCGAAAACTTCCAATGAATGTCTACTTTATAAAACAAAGTAAAATAAGTGAAGGTATGGGACGATTTTCCCGTCGTACTTTTTGATAGTCCAATGTTCCTAATTTTAGATTGAAATTTGAATTTTGTGCAGTGTCGGCGTTTTTATTAGTTTTGTGTCAGTCATACTTATATCTATTGAGCGTTAAACTGAATTTAAATTTACAAACTTAATATTTGTAATGGAGGCTTTTATCGAAAGCGGGGATTTAAAAAGTGCGTGGTGCCTGGTTGTACTGATACACTCAGTAAAAGGCATACACATTTACAAAATATGATGCCGTTTTTTTAACAAATGCATCCAGCAAGTGCGAAATCCAGTTTTGGACAATAAAAGTCACGAACAACTTTATAAAAGACATTTGGTGTGTGACTTACATCTTTCAGAAAGTGCCTGGAACGAAGAGAGGTCTGAAAAGAACAGCTTCTCCTACATTACATCTTCCAGAACTTCAATCTTCAAATAAGTAATAACTTTGATTACATATATAAACCAGGTACATGCACTGTACAATCAGTGAATAATCAGGATTAAATGATTCGAACATTTTGCTATCCTAAAAAGTTTTTTTTTTAGGTATGGTTTCGGAAACCAGAGTAGTTCCGAAACTCGTGAAGGTAGTAGAGAAATTGCTAATTGCAAATTTACATGGTACATCGGTAATACCGATTATTTTTTATTACTAACAACTTGCATAACTGTTATTTTTATGTATTGTATCAAAAAAATACACATTCAAAAAAAAATTAAGGTTGAGACTATATCTAATGTATATAATTTGAATATTTAATTCAAATTTAGGTCCACAGTGTAAAAAGGAAGTCCAAAGATGGCAATAGGTATTCTATATTTTTAAAGGGTTCTAATCAGTTGGTATAGGTTCTATAAAAAGTTTGGAGTATATCCCAGGGATGGCGCTACAAACTTAGTGACAAACCTTAGCATAACAGATTCCCTTTATAAAGTAGTGTGAGGTTTTCGCCTTGTTAAAAAAATATGACATCAAGAAAAAAATTTGTCTTTTTCAGGTGTTTTATGGACTTTAAAGTCGATAAAGGAGAATACTTGGGTCGTATTATCATTGAATTATACTTTGAATACGTGCCTGTAACAGTGCAAAATTTTCTAGAAATTTGCAAATGCACATCATGTCTAACGTACAAAAATTGTCTTGTACACAGCATTGTTAAGGGGAAATATTTAGAAACTGGTGACATAACTTTAGGTACTGGAAGAGGAGGAATTTCCATTTATGGTGATAGTTTCCAAGAGGAAAATCACATTTTAAAGCATACTAAAGCAGGTTGTACAGCAGATAATACGAAAATCCTAGTAATGGCTGTATATTATATTTTTCTTGCAGGAATTTTATCAATGAAGAGAATACGGCATAAAACAGAGAATAACTCGCAGTTCTGTATTTCACTCAGTGCTCTGGAAGAGCTGGATCATAAAAATGTAGTTTTCGGCAAAATAGTAAAAGGCAGTTCTACGATATTCAAAATAGAAGGCTACGGTAGAAAAATCGGCAAACCATTTGTATCGATTCGAATTTCAAATTGTGGCGCTCTATAAATTACCTGTCAAATGTCAATATCTGACAGATACATATAGGGAATTTTCATTTCACCCTAAAAGTTGGTAATGAAAATTGCAAATGGCTAACATTTTGTAGACAGGGTTGTACATAAACGTGTTTGTGAATTTTGTAGTGATTTTTAAATAAAATTCAACAAGTATTTTCTGTGATTTGTATTACAGTATTGTTAGATTTCTCACAATTTGAGCCATGTTGTATTTAGAAGACTACCTAGAAAGTGAGTATATATATTTTTTGACGCAAGCGCATCAAGTCAGAGCGGGCTATTTAAACATTTTCTTTTTCAGTGATTGAACATCTCCCTCAAGAATTGAGGGATAGATTCACAGATATGAGGGAAATGGATCTTACTATACATAGTAAGTTATTACTTTAGCACAAGTTCTACCTAAAATGCTGTTGACAATCTTTACTACATCCTAGACTTTTTTGTGCATTCCCGTCAACTTACTTTCATTTTATAAAAAACTATCTGTTACCCGCAACTTCATACACTTAAAATTTTGGAAAGGAAATTGAGTTTACGTGTATTACTTTTATGGAAATTACTTCTTGGCAACATGACTGTGATAATGGAAACTGTATGTGGACTTTTAAATGCTTGTGTTTTTTCCAAGATAACATGGATGAGCTGGAAAAACGAGTTAAAATATTCTTCAACGATTGCAAGCGGTATCCCCCAGATCAGTTGCCTCAAAACATAGATGCTGAGTTCCAAGCTATAAGAAAGGAATATTACAAGAATCTTGAAGAGGCTGATGAGAAGGTGAGAAGAATCTTAGCCCACCTATTTGATTCTTTGTTTTATAATTATATTTTATTCAGGTACAACTGGCAAGTCAGATGTATGACTTGGTTGACAAATATTTGAGAAGACTGGATTCAGAACTTCACAAATTCAAGTGTGAATTGGAAGCTGACAATAAAGGGATAACTGAAGTGTTGGAGAAACGTTCTTTAGAGTTGGACACACCGAATAACACATCAAGCTTGTCATCTTTGCAACAAAAAGAGAATCGATATGAAAGGTAAAACAACAATCTTCAATACTTTTTTCAGGTTTAATATGAGTATCAGCTTAACCAGTATGGATTTTACTCAGTAATTCATCAGCTGATAAAAAAATCTTATAGGCACAATATCAGAATACAGCAGGATAAGTCAATAATAATGAAAAATGCATGCTTCTTTGACATCATCCTTGGCTGTGACTTTAACAGTAATTTCAAGGTCAAGTTATTTCTTTTGGAGTTATAGTTCAAGTTTGTCCTTGACAATGATGCAGAACTTGACCTTGCAAGTAATTTCAAGGTCAAAGAGGCAACTGAAGTCAGAAAAGGTTATTTAAGAACAGTTTACAACCTGTTGTCTTTGAAACACGCGTCAACATAAAGGAGATCCTTTGAAATCTTTTTGATTTCAAATCTTAATGATAAATGAAGGGATCAGTGGAAAAGTTGCCTATTCCACATAAACTAAAAAATGAGAAAAACGTATTCAAAGTTGAATGTGAATTAAAAAATCAGTGTGAGTTGTATAAAAAAACTAAAATGATTTTTAGTATCTATTGCATTGTAACAAGCATGTAGTTAATGGCCGGGATATCTACACAAATGTTTTGTTTAAATAAATGGTATTTTACAAAAAAAAATGTTGCTTAGGCACCTTTGACCCAACAAAACAAGATATAAATTAGATTTGTCAACTTGAATGTTATAACTAGAACAAATTATAAATACGTTCAAAACAAACTTTATTATTTTTTTACAAATACGAAATAAGCAAAACAACTGTTGCATTGGTAACTTTAGTTTAACACATAATTTAAAACAGTTATTATGAATAATATAACAAATAGTTATTATTATTAATAAAAATAACTTAAGGGAAATCTTTATAATTTGTAGAACATAATATGAAAAACTTTCAATCCGAAGATTCTTCATCTTCATCAGGATCAGGATTTTCTAACAGGTCAACCGCCTCAGGATGTGTTCTTAGGCTGGTATAGAAATGATGATGAATTGGCGGGATATACTGACTTAACGCCATCAAATGTTGCAGTTTCTCTTCGGTTAGTTCTTTTCCATTTGGGTATAATACATCTAAACTTCTAAGCTGGTATGAGCGTCTGCCTTTTTTCCTCGGCCATAGGTTCAGTTCATAAAAGTCAGTGCCATGATAGTTGAATTTCATCTTTAACACCAATGGTTTATCTTTCTCTAACCGAATCCATACTGTTTTAAGCCACTGAACTGTTGTACCATCAACATGTTTTTTTCTATTTGTTATGTTTTGTTTCAAGGATTTAAAGCTAAAAAAATCTTCTTTTTTCATTCTAATGACTGCAAATTTCGGATTACTTTTTTTGCTGTCCTTCACCATATCCACCCAATCATTTGGTACAAAAATATCATTGTAGTATTTCTTAGCCTTCTCAGTCAATGCAAAAGAGCGGTCGCATGAATTAAAACTATGCCCACTTATAAAAAACTTTTGGTCAATAACTTTAAGAGTTTCAGATTTTTGTAAAAGCTCTGTTAACATCAAACTCATTTTGATGTTGCGGTTCTGACCGCCACATCCATCGCTATACAAAGTAAGGTGTGTAATAGAGTCTGGTATGTTGTGTTTCATATGATGGAAGAGACAGGAAGCCACCTCTTGCGTTCCACGAGATGCTTCATTTTCGGCCCACATGTACATAAAGGAACGCTGACTTACTTCATCATGAACGCATAGATTGTAGGTCCACATCTTCGTTTGTAGTAGGCCTCACCAATTTTCAAGACAGGAGTGGGCAAGGTTTTTTGCAGATCGAAAGTTAATACACGTTTAGTTGGATCATTCGCACAATCAGAAACGTCCTGCTTTTGCATGTCGTGTGCAGCTTGAGCGTTGCGCTGATGAAGTTCTTTTTCCCTAAGCAAAGTGTTTCTTTCTTCTTCTGTAATAGACTGAGATTCTAGGTCTATTTTGAATTTATCACATCTATGACAAGTATCTGTTTGTGGCCGATGAAAATGTAAATTGAACTGAGTGTTGAAAATATTTCTAAACACAAATGAAGAAAGAGGAGTTTTTGAATCATTTTCACAGCTCTTCTTGTACAAATCGTACATTATGCGAATATTGAGGCCTGGAGATAGATAATCCCTATTCCCGTTGTCCTTTCTACTGTAGTGCGATTTGTAGGTTGTATGAATGTACGCAGATAAGTTACGTCATCGGGATTACTTTTGTTAGCAGGCTCATGCCTACCCCGTTTATCTTCAAGTGGAGTACCATCTTCAGATTTCCTTTTCAATGCATTGGTTATTGAACCGTCACAAATCATAAGGGTATCCTTAAAATAAGTTTTACAAACTGGAACATCATTTTGGCCATCATTTAATTTATAAATTCGAGTGAATTGATGTCTTGAATCTTCATTTTTGCCATAGCACCTTTTTTTATTCATACGAGAAACTTGTCCCATAATGAAAGCATTTTTCAAGCCCCAGGAAAGGGAATAAAAATTTTTATGAATTTGGATTCTTCTTTCAACAGATATCTTCGTGTTGCATTTTTTCAAGCAACCACATATTTTTTCAGCATTTAGTATTTTTACAGGCACAATTTTTCCTTTTGCTGTTGTGTATTCTTCCCCTCTCATTCGGTTTAGTTTTCCAATATTTTTGTTATGGTTTTCTGGCTTCAATAATCGTTTTCTTGTTTTTAAATTGCTTGTTTCTGTTTCATTTCTACCATACGGCTCGTCACTGGTCTCTGAAACAATAACGCAGGAATGTAGAAAAAAAACGAATAAATCGACACACAAAAAGCAACAGGTTGCGCATTCTGTGTGCCATACTTGCTTAACGCACAAAAAAATTGCAAAAGGAGAAATGCCTAACCCACATGTGATATTATTTTGAGTATTTGCGTTTTTCACGAACTAATATACCAAAAATTTATTGAAAATGACAATTCTTACCATACGTGGCTTCATTTGGGATCGGTTGTTCATAATCTGGATCGCTGGAACGCCCTGAATCGCTGAAAACAGGAGCACTACTTTCACTGCTGGCGGCCATTTTGATTGTGTTTGGGCAACTGTGGCTCGACGTAGGTGAATATTATGTTAATAGGCAGAGTTGCTTGTAGATGTCGCTAGCTTAATATGTTTCAGACGGTTAGGCAACTTTGGCAAAAGGTAATTCGAATATTTATCATAATCGTGTAGCAAATATGGCGGTTTTTTGAATTTGTGGGACAGGCAACTTTTCCACTGACCCCTTCAAATGATGTCCAAATACAGGGTGGACTAGAAAGACGTACGAATTTCAAAACCGGATTGCTCGTGATAGGCACGCGGTAGCGGGGCACGGGTAGTGGGGATAAGTAGCTTGGTGTTTGGAAATTTAGTGGCCATGAAGTTGTGTGCTTCCTGTGTTAAGGTTCATGCACTATTGCGCGACGACTGTTTCACTCTGAGTTTAGTTTGATTTACATCTATAACAATATCAGCAAAGTCGCTAGATGATCTAGAAGTAAGGCTAGCATCATAATGCAGAGTGTTCAAAAGTGGGTAGTATTAAATAGGGTACTAATTAATACAGATAAAACCAAATACAGTGAAAGCTCTCCTTACGGACAGCTCCTATAAGCGGACATTTCTTCCTGGAACCGAATTTCAGCCATCAATTTTCAATGTTAAATGCATTCCGATAAACGGACGCTCTTATAAACGGACGCGGACACTAGATTTTCCTGTATGTGATCAAAAAATCTCCCATAAGCGGACGCGAAACTCTAATACCCGGACGATTTTTTAGTTCCGCTTATTGCAATGCACATATCTACATACATAAAATTTGGTAATTCCCCGATTTATGTTAGGTGATTCCCCATTTACGCATTTCGTTGGGTAGCCTGTATGTAATCTTGTGGCTTGTCTTCAGTTCAGGCAAATTCGTAGTTGATTGAGTTACGTATTTTATTATTGTAACTGTAAAATGGCACCAAAAAAAAGGATGCTCTCGTTAAAGGAAAAGATGGAAGTTGTTAACGTATTAGACAGAGAAAGTGTTTCAGTTCGTCATTTAGCAAAGAGGTTTAATATTGGGAAAACGCAAGCAGCTGAAATTGCCAAAAATAAGGAAGATATCAGGAGTAAATGGCAATCAGGAACTAATATAAATCAAAAGAAGGATTTTTTAAAAAAGGAAGGTTTTGCTATAGACAAAACATGTTTTGAGTGGTTTGTGAAAGCTAGAAGTCAGAACATTCCAATCTCAGGGCCGTTAGTGAAAATGAAAGCTAAAGAAATCGCCACTACTTTGGGCTATAATAATTTCAGTGCGTCCGACGGGTGGCTGCAAAAGTGGCGCAAGAGACATAGTGTGAGTTTCAAATGCATATCTGGCGAAGCTTCTGCAGTATATCAAGTTGATGTGTCACAATTTTTGGAGAAACTTCCGTCGATGTTGCTTGGCTACAAACCAGAAGATGTGTACAACGCAGATGAGAGTGGACTTTTTTTTCGCGCATTGCCCGACAAAACTCTGTCCTTTAAAGGAGAAACATGTGTGGGTGGAAAGTTGTCTAAAGATAGACTAACCATTTTATTCTGTGCAAATATGGCCGGTGAAAAATGCGATTTGATTGTGATCGGGAAAGCGGCTCGTCCCAGTGCTTTAAAAAACGTTGCTATTAAGGATCTACCAGCGTCTTGGAAATCCAACAAAAAGGCATGGATGACCCGAGAAATCATGTCTGAGTGGTTAGTCGAATTCGACCGGAAAATGAGAATCCAAAAAAGGCAAGTTCTTTTATTTTTAGACAATGCATGCTCTCATCCTCGTGATATGAAAATGAAAAATGTGAAAATTATATTTTTACCGCCAAACACAACTTCTGTTTGTCAGCCCATGGATCAAGGTGTCATACAGAACTTTAAATTTTATTATCGGCACTTGATTTTAAAACATATTTTAACAAAAATTGACGATGGTCAAAGCTTATCTGAGCTTACAAAGTCTATCAATGTGTTAGAAGCTTTGTATTTTATAAAAACAGCATGGAATAAAGTAAATTCCTCTACAATTAAAAACTGTTTTGGCAAAGCTGGATTCAGAAAAAGTGAATGTAGCTCAGAATTTGCTGAGCAAAATTATTGCGATGCTGAAGACGATCTGCCCTTAGCGACACTTGCTCAGTTACTGCGACATGCCAAACATTTAGGAGTAGCAGATCCCCAGAAAGTAGATGATTTCCTGGCCATAGACAATAACATAACAACAGAAGAAAATGCCATTGGCAACTTTTCGAATTTGGATGTAGAAAGCCCAGGCCAACTTGAATATGGTAGTCCAAATGACTCAGAAGAAGAAGTGGAACTGGTGGACTCACTAAGCGGTTCAAAAACGATAAATTCATATGGGGAAGCTCTAAATCATATTTCTATATTGAAAAAATTTGCTAAAGATGATTTCACTGCATTTCAACATTTGAAAAATTTAGAAAGTTATTACGAAAATTGTCTCCTTAGGCAAAAGATGGTGAAATTTCGTCAGACAAACATTTTAAACTTTTTTCAACAAGCTAAAGAATAATGTTTTTTTTTAAATTCTCGTACCATGTATTGAAGCATTTATGTTTTTGTATGCGTATATGTACATATATTATATAGATATATAGCATAAATACATACTTTAAAAATGTGGCGAGCTTCTGTTTCATTTTTCTCATGATTATAATACCTCATTTCCTCATGATTATATACCCCGTTATTTATACTCTATACTTACATACTCTCCCCACCCTCCCATAAGCGGACAAAAGTTACGGAACCGTGAGTGTCCGCTTATGGGAGCTTTCACTGTATATCCTGTATCTTAAATGAAGGCCACAGAACATCATATTCACAGTGAGTCACTGGAAAGAGTAACAAACATAACATTTTTAGGTCTAATAGTAGATGAACATTTGAGTTGGAAAGACTACATAGAGTATGTAGCCAAAAAATGATTTCAGCATTTTTTGCTCTAAGAAACTTAAAATACATAATGAAAAAAAAAACACCTATTGAATGTCTACTACTCTATTGTATATTCCCACCTCAAATATTTAGTGCTATATTGGGGATCATGTGTTGAGGCCCAACAAATCTTTATCAAAAAAGAATAGTCGGCATCATTACATCATTCCAAATTTACTTACCTAAGAGTTCCAGAGATACAACCTAAGGAATAATAAGAATGTTACATTGAACAACTATAACCTCAGCACATATGGTAATAGCTCTGCTTACTTATGTGGATCTATCTTCAATAATTTGCCCTACGAGTTAAAAGCCATCAACAACTTAAAAGCCTTCAAAAAATATATTTTAACATACTTGTTCCCTAAGTGTTTTTTCTCTACAAGAATTTTATAACGTTTAATAATTACATATTTATCTATTTTATTCATTATTTTACTTATTATACATTTATGCTGCATACTTTTTATATTCTTTTTAACTAATCATTTAAGCATACTTTTTTTTGCTACTTATTTTATAAATTGTTATTATCTCTTTTAATCTAATTTAGTAATGTATATTTTTTCTGTTGACGTTTCATATCCGCGAAGCAATTTGAATAAAAGTTATTATTATTATTATTATTGTCAGAAATTATGGAATTCTGTCAAGGCTTGCAGTCACGTTGGACTTTGGCCTTATTGTTCCGTATAAAATCTCTTCGTCGATAATTGATTGATCCATTACGTTGACAATACCTGATTACTGTCTAAAGTATCAAAATTACCAATAGAGGACATGCCTGATTTAAAAATTCTCAGTGACATATTCTCGTAAATGTAGTTTCAGATACAGTCGACCGCGCACCGAGAAACGTCGAGACAGCAGCACCGCCTCCTTAACATCTACCTCATCTCTAGTGGGAGGTGTCGTGGGGGCAGGCTCGGGGGCACTGCCCATCGGCATGCCATACGTTGAAAAGAGACAGACAGTGTCTGCAGCAGCCGTAGCGCAGCCGCCTCTGGTGGAGACCAGGCACAGTGTGCAAGCCGCCGTGCAGTTGCCTGTCACGTCGACGTCCGCGATCAGTTACAATTTGGGGCACACTTTGGGAGCGGGACCTGCCATTGCGGCGGCCGCGTCGCAGGCTATCGCCGCCACGCAACAGGTGAGGAGTGGTTCGTTTGTTTTAGTATTATTTGAATTCAAATTCTTTATTATCCTGAGAGATGGAATCCCTACTATAACTGTTATACAGGGTGACTTTGAAGTTGAGTCATTAATTTTCAGATAATACATTAACAAAGGCACGAGGGGTTGGTTGCACTCGATTGGGAAACCGATCCGCATAAACATGTGCCATTTGTTATTTCGTTTGAGCCACGCAACAGACACCACTATCCACTACCGACTGACACTGACTGTATACAACTGAATGTAATAATTGTAAAAACATCGTTCCAAATTCTTTCGCTTTTTTGTTTTCGATGCAATGAACCGATAAGGCGAATTATATCCGTTGTCGCCAAACACGAGCACATAATATTATTATTGAGACAGGGCGGTACTCAAACTTCCAAAGAGCTATAACTTTGTTACTTTAATTTTACCAGAAAAATGGTAAAGGAAAAAAACATTTCTTTTGATCAGATCTACTCACTGTTAAAATAAATGACTCAACTTCGAAGTCACCCTGTATAAATAGGATAGATTATGTTCAAAAAAAGGTCCTTAAATATCTAGCTTTTAAGTGCAATAGTCTACCCTCAACGTCTTTGAATGTGAGAAGGAAGCACAGTTCTGTTATTTTTTTGTTTAAACTCTTGCAGTTTCTTCGAAATTGTTAACACAACTACAGTTTTTAACGCCAAGATCCGTTTCAAGATGTAATGTTACTTTCTTTTTCAGTCGTGATAACACAAATTTGATTTTGAAATCACCTGAAAGGGTTATGTGTTTGAATTATAATAGTATTTTTAAGTTTTGTGACATATTCTTATGTTCTATTTCGGAGCTGAAATGTGTTTTGTGGGAGCGCCTTAGACAGTTTTATAAGTTAGGCTTTTGTAATATTTCTAATTTAAGATTTTGGCCTATAAATGGAATATTATCTGTTGGGCAATAAAAGCTATAAATAAATAAACAATGTATGTATAAGATTCGTCAGAGTAAAAACTAATAAAACAAAAATAAATATATCTATCAAATAAATCATAAAGTAACAAACTCAGAGACGACAAAATAACATTTACTTACAAGAAATTCTGTAAGTTTACCCTTAAAATTATTTATTTCTCCACACTCTTTAATGTGATTTGGTAGCCTACTGAAAATGCGTTGAGCCAGTTTTTTCGGAGATCTGACGCCGAGTGCGTGTTAAAATTGTTTAAAAACCTATTTATGTTAAAAAAAAATATCCACAGCCATTTCGCATAAAAATAATGATGGGTAAGGTTACAATCTTAAAATGCTTAAAAATATCATTACAAGAATGCCTACTACTGACTCCGATCATACATCTAACCACTCTATTCTGGACCATAAATACTTGCTGGGCATTTGTGGACAAATCCCAGAACCATAAGGCATACTTTGGTCGTGTCTCAGATTGAGCATAGTAAACAGGAACTAGCTGTGCTTCAGTAAGAACCATTCGCAAATTTCTCATGAGTATATCTTTGAAGCAATATACTTCGAAGTTGAGTCATTTATTTCAACAGTGAGTAGATCTGATCAAAAGAAATGTTTTTTCCTTTACCATTTTTCTGGTAAAATTAAAGTAAGAAAGTTATAGCCCTTTGGAAGTTTGAGTACTGCCCTGTCTCAATAATAATATTATGTGCTCGTGTTTGGCAACAACGGATATAATCCGCCTTATCGGTTCATCGCATCGGAAACAAAAAAGCGAAAGAATTTGGAACGACGTTTTTACAATTATTTTATTCAGTTGTATACAGTCAGTGTCAGTCGGTAACGCGTGAGTGAATAGTGGTGTCTGTTGCGTGGCTCAAACGAAATCAAAAATGGCACATGTTTACGAAAATGCTGAACTTGTGGACAGGATTCTTATTTACGCGGCATCACGGATCAAATTCAGGTCCGCACTGAAATACTTGTCGGGAGGATACTTTATAAAACAAGGTAACATTTTTTTTAATTTTTTTTTATTTTTACACACAAACTTTGGTTTATCTTCCTTCTACAATCATTATCTGAAAATTAATGACTCAACTTCAAAGTCACCCTGTATACACAGTGGTGTTTTACCCTTAACCTTAAACCTGTATCTAGATACTAGCCCAAGAATTTTACTTGCGTATCAAGTGACATTCTTGATCCATTGAAAGTGATATTTAAAGGTTGGTTTCTTCTGGATGTTATGAAATCGGACAACTGATATTTTTTCAGAATTCCTGAATGAATAGCTGATTGTTGCTAAACCACTAGAATAGAACACTGAGGGGTGCCTATGGTTATGTGAACCATGTCGTGTAAAATACGCACATTCAAACCACTATCGACGTTGCTCAGAAATTGAGACCTGTTCTCTAAAAAAACCTCACAAAATGATATGTTGGACCATTTATGCTATATTTATTCAACAGCACTTTATGATTGACAGTCCAATGCCCTGATGAGATCACAAAAAATCCCAACAGGGAACTCGACCGCTTCAGTCATCTTAACAAGCTGTGAATTGTGTTGCTGTAGATTTTCGTGTTAATTCTCAGTCAAAATATTGTCTGTCCAGATAACAGTACTCGAATGCTTTCGGAAAATTATTATTCAGCTAAGAGGGATCCTATTTTTTATATACTGAAATGAGCTTTCCAGTTTTTAGCAGACAAGGCAACTTTCCCATGCAGAATAATGAATTGATCATGAAGACCGGTGGCTTTACAAAGTAATGCGGTACTTTTATACGATGATATTTGGGATCTCATCAGGCCCAGAAGAATGCTCAGTTTTCAGCTTTTTGATCATCAGTAAATGGATAAAGCAACATCAAATCTGCCCTACTGGAACTAGAAGTATTACCGTGAATGGGATTGGTTGGAATATTTTTGACGATGTTTATAGGTTCATTTTTGAAAAACTGATTGTATTCATCAGCATGGATTTTCTGATTAGATGTAGTGTAGTCATACTTATATTAGTGGTTATTTTCGTATTATTTCCAGTCAGTTCAGCAACAGTCTTTCAGACAGCTTTAGTTTTGTTGCTGGAATTAAATATTTTTTACTGATAATTTCTTTTTGTTTGTTCTATTAATGTTTCATTTTTCCAATGTTTACATTCTGGAACTACTGTTATTAAATAATGGAGATCCTTTAAATTGTGACTAGAATGGACAATCTTTTCGTACACCCATGATTTACTTATGGTTGAAGTAGTATGCATTCGCCGTGGAAAATTCATTTGTAAATGGTAGTTAAACACCTCAAAAAATGTCGAAACGCGTGGCTAACGTTGTTAATGTTATACAGCGTGTTCGAAAAATAGACGGAAATATTTTAGAGGGTGATTCCTTGTTAAAAAATATGGAAAAAAGTTTCTATAAACAGGAAATGCAGAGTTTTGAAGATACATGGTGATAAATTAAACAAAAAATATTAATATCTTAAAAAATATTTACTCGATTCTGTTGGAATTTTTAAATATTATTTGTTGTATTAACAGGTTAATTTAGCCCTAAATAGACTAAAATTATTAGGTCCAGTGGCGTCCCGGACGGCACCTTAGCGAATATTGTCAAAAAAATGTACGCCACTGCATTTTTTATAACTTTAATATTTGTTGTTTGATTAGGCATCTAAAATTGAAACTTCTTTGCCTCTTGAATTTTTTTCGTACATCACGTCGTTTTTGAGAAAAAAAGACCGTTTTATTACCGGACAAAATTGGTTTATTAATTTTTGCTAAAAAATCAATGCATTGGAAAACAAAAAGACGATGGTTTACGCTACTCTTATAGAAGCAATAGAAGAATTGAGAAATAAAACCGTAAATGCTTGCGAAGAAATAAGAAATAGACCTCGAATTTTAGCTCGAGTTCGTCGTTAAATGATTCGTCGAGTGAGAAGGTGTACGGAAATGGATGGTGGAAATTTCCAACATTTGTTGTTGTAGTGTTCTTTATGTCATGGTACCTATTGGAAAACTTGCAATAACACTCGTTCCTAGAATTTTTTTTTCATTTTTTGTTTTCCACGGCATTTGTGTAGCAAAAGTTACAATTCTGTCCAGTGACATGCAATAAAACGGTTTTTATTTTTTTCACGAAAGCGAAGTGAGATACGAAAAAAATACAACTGGAAAAAATGTATATTTAGATGTTCAATCAAACAACAAATATTAAAGTTATAAAACAGACAGTGGCGTACATTTTTTACCAATAATATTCGGTAACGTGCCCCCCCAGACGCTACTGGACCTAATAATTTTAATATATTTACCTCTAAATTAGCCTCTTAATACAACAAATAATATTGCCAAATTTCTACAGAATCGAGTAAATATTTTTTGAGATATTAATATTTTTTTTTTATTTTATCACCCTTTATCTTGAAAACGGGCCCATGTTTATAGAAACTCTTTTCCATATTTTTTAACAAGGAATTACCCTCTAAAATATCTCCGTCTATTTTTCGAATACTAATGGAGACCAATCTTCAGCACATAAATCTGATATGAGTTTGCTTATTGAGTCATAGCATTTTTTCCAGATTATGTTAGCTTTTTTGTTGAGATGTTTTCATGGACTTTAAAGAACACTGTGCTGTAGTCTGACGTATTATTCTCTGAAGAGCAGGAAGTACCGCAGACTTCAATATTTGTCAATATCTGATCAATAGTGGTGATTGAACCTCGTCCTATTTTTGTTTGCCATCCCACTAATGGAGATACATCGAATTTGCTTAGGACATTGTTAAGGTTTTCAGATCCAGTCCCTTGATTGTAATGAAAAAGATGGGCATACGTGCCGTGGCTTGCCAACTGCTTATGCTCACAGCTTACAACAAAAAGGAAAAAGTCAGTCAAACAGGTCCATATGTTTAGTCCATAGACATTATTTCCCTCTCATACCCGTTGCATCTGAAAGCATCGCCTCTCCCCGATACCTAACTCGGGCAGACGTGGCACCGCGGGCATGGCGGTGCAGTCTGAGCATAGAAAAACTATGCTCGGCAGAAATCACGGCCGGCACACGAAGCAAGCAGTAGCTCAGCCTATAGGTACATACGCGATCCGCCTCCCAAGAATTTTCCAGTTTTTAGGGATAGTTTGCTGAGAAATCTACGATGTGTGAAATATGTGTAATAGGTGCGTAGAATTAGCAATGTTGGGAGCGTATAAATGTACCAGCATCAAAAAAGTGAAACAAACCTTCAGCACCCCTCTTCAACTTCCACCCCCAATTTTTGATTGCTATTGTATATTTTTATTGATTCTAAGGAACTTACTGCGATCTTATTTGGCGACATGGCTGTGACAATGGAAATTGTATGTGAGAGTTTAAATACTGTATAAATTTCAATTCACCGTTTCGCAGTGATCTATTCTAGCAGTAGATGCCGCTGAGGAGTAGGCACAAAAACACGAACAGCTGCCATGGTTGGTGGTCTTTGGTCGGACGGACGAAAGCAGGGCATGTTCATTTAATCAACATGTTACAATATTTTGTAGGATTTCTTCAGTGAAACAATACATTTTGAAATGTATTTTTTTTAGATGCAACAGGGTAGAAGAACAGCAAGTTTGAAAGCTTCATACGAAGCTATAAATACTGGTGGTCATGGGCATGAATTCAGTATTGGTAAAGAACTTGCAGGAGCTGCTCAAACGGCTATCCAGGCGATACAGCAAGACCATGCTAATAACAAGAAAAAACAGAAGTAAGCAGTATATTTATTCAAAATGAAATATTGAGACGATTCCTTTAGATTTCATTTCAGTTTGATAGCCTCGGTAAAATGTTCTCAAACGTCATCAAACTTCAAAATTAAGTTCTGCATTACTCAGTCCGAATATTGAGCGGGACGAACCATTACTGCAGTACTTACGAATTGAATGCGCATGCACGTTTAAAACAATCGTGTAAAAATGTTCCTTCAAAGTTGGTGTCAGAGTCGAAATCTATACGATCATTTACTAAAAGCTTCCTTATCATCTCAAGGTGTACAATAGCGTTATTTAGTAGACATATCGACTTGTTTTTTACCAGTCTATGTTGCAAACAAGGGATTTTTATCGGTCATTAATAAGATCATTTTTACATGTCAATATGCCTCAAAAAGAACCTAACATTGAGTGCATATTTTAGGTTAATATTAGGTAAGCTACAAGATCTGTCGCAAAGTAAACAGGACAAAGAAAAAATAAGCAAACATTTTTTGTTTCGGAAAATCGAATTTATTTTATTCGATATAGTCTCCTTCAGAGTTAATACAGCGACTTGCACGGACCAAAAGATTTTGGAGTGATGATTTTAGCTCATTTACCTCAAAATGATCGTCAACGCCTTTTGGATAACCTCTACATCGACATACTGCTGTCCCTTCATGGCCAAGTGTAGTTTACTGAACAGAAAATAGTCACACGGAGCCATATCAGGATATTATGGGGAGTGGTTGATGGCTAAAATGCCATTTTTTGTAAAAAAATCCTACACAACCGTCGATCGTGCAGCAAGCGCCGGCTTCCTTCTTTGCGATATTCTGGCCGAACACGATGAATACGGGACAGCGAACGCCTCATACCACCAAGATAAAACACAGCATTAACCGTTTGGCCCGGTGGAACGAATTCTTTGTCAATAATTCCGTTCGAATCTTAGAAACAAATCAAAATTGTCTTCACTTTGGACTTTTCCAAACGGCTTTGACTCGCTTGAGTTCTTTCATTCGGAACTTTGGATAGTATTGAAAACACCGTTTTGTACAGAAAGTTGTTTTTTGTTCTCTTTAATGATATCTCTCGAATTTTGAATTCGAAGCAATTTTTGGTCATCCGTCAGCTTATGCGGAGCATACCGTGAGCATACTCAGACAAATAGCGCCATCTGTTGGGCGAGTCTTCTACTCGCCAGAGCTTAATTGACGATGTCTGCTTTTACACGACCGCACAAGCCGCATGGCGTCGTCTGTGAGGACCGTGACAGTGGATCGCCTTCTAGATCGACGCGAAGTGATCTCCAACATTCTAGATGTCGCTTTGTGATCTTTCTCGAAGCGGTAATTGGGACTATATATAACTCGGCGGCCGGGAGATGGAGAATACGCTAGAGTAGCAGAGCGGAGTGAGGTATAGTGCAGTCAATGGTGGCATAAGAATTAGTCAGACATAAATCGTGGTGTATATAAATGTTTTATCAAGTTAAATAAATCAGTGCCCATGCCATGCCCTACTGAGCGAGGGCCGTGGCAAATCCTTGTTCCGGAAGTTGTTGTATCCAGTATACAACTTCTTCCCGTCCAAGTGATTGTGCACGCGTTAAGGAATACCTCAGTACCGATTGCCGGGTGGCGGTACAAGTCCGCCAACGGGCCACTTTAGGTCTATTTAACATCACTAACACGTAAAAAGAAGGTGGTAGACAAGGACCAGTCGACCGAGGCAGTACCACCCGCTAGCTTTTCCCAGGGTGCCTTATAAATGTCCGCATGTTTCCACACCTAAGCTATGCAGTCGGTTATCTACCAAAACAAAGAAATTAATGATGGATCCCTCGAGCACTAAGAACTCCGGACGTAAACTCACTCCACTCTCGGAATGTCCGGGTGGAGGGTGGGCTCGAGGGAACAACATCGAAGATATAATTTGTTTTTCGAACATCTGCGGGATCAACAGCAACATTGATGCTGTTCATCACTACCTGCAATCCAATCGTCCCGCCGTGCTTTTCTTGGCGGAGACAAAAATCTCAGAGACTGCACCGATTAACCATCTCAACTTCCCAAACTACGAGGTGCACTCCAATCTGAGAAAGAACGGGGGAGTTGTGGCTTTTGTCCGCAGCAGTCTTTCCTGCTCCAGGGATCTTTCTTTGGAATCAGACCGGAAGGACATTCTGTGGCTTCGCCTCAACTCTAAAACATCACCCAAATTCATTTGCTGCCTTTATCGCTCTAGCTCGAACCATAACTGGGATGACCTACTCGAATACCTCGCCGTCCAGATCGACTTCCTGAACATCAATCACCCCGCTTCAGAGGTAGTTCTTCTCGGTGATTTCAATGCCCATAATGAGCTTTGGTTGGGCTCAAATAAGACCGATGCAGCAGGTCGTGCAGTCGAAGCGTTCGCTCTTACTCAAGGGCTGACCCAGCTGGTGACGAGCCCTACTCTTTTCCCCCGCGTCTCGTCACACGCCAGTAGCGTGCTGGATCTCTTTCTGACCACGCATCCTGCCCCTTACAGCACTGCTGTCCTGTCCCCCCTGGGTAACTTAGATCACGGTGTTGTGGAGGTTAGGTTTCGGTCAGAAGCCGCTGTGGCAGCAGATACTCGCTCAGGCCGCAAAACTTGGCATTACGGACATGCCGACTGGGAGGGGCTCAGAGACTTCTTCTCTAGCTTTCCTTGGAGAGATGTCTGTTTCACTGACGCGGATGCGTCGACTGTCTGTTCTTCAATAACCGAAATTATCCACGTCGGAATGGAGGAATACATCCCCCACACAGTGAAAGTTCCTAAACCAGGGTCCAACGGCTGGTTCAACAAATCGTGTGACACTGCTCGCCAGCAGAAGATCAAGGCCCACAGAACCTACTTGCAAAACCCCACTGTAGAGAACAGACAAGCCGACGTCGAGTCCAGAAACAAATATAACGAAGCGGTTCGCAATGCCAAAAACCAGCATGATATAAAAGTTAGGCACAGGGTAATGTCGCAGCGCAATGGCAGTCGGTCTTTCTGGACGCTGGCCAAGCAGATTGAAAAGAACTTCTCACACAGTAGCCTTCCACCACTTACGTGTCAGGATGGAACTATTGTATTCGACTCAAAAACCAAGGCGGAAGTGCTAGCCAAGATCTTTGCTGCCAACTCCACCATGGACGTCCCCACCAACGCCCAAGTGCCGTCAATTCAAAGGGTTCCCCACACTATGCGGGAGGTAACATTCAGGCATAAGACCGTAAGACGAGTGCTCTTGTCGCTTGACATCAACAAAGCTTCTGGTCCGGACTTGATTCCTGCCATTGTACTGAAGAGGTGTGCACCGGAGCTTGCTCCAGTTCATTCGCGTCTCTTCCAGATATCTTATGAATCCGGCACCTTCCCAGAAAACTGGAAATTTGCTCATGTACAGCCCATCCCAAAAAAATGATCTAAGACCGACCCTTAAACAACTACAGGCCTATAGCTCTGCTTTCTGTTATATGTAAAGTGATGGAGAGGTGCATAAATCGCGAGCTTCTGGACTACCTCGAACGTCACAGCTTGATTAGCGACAGGCAGTACGGCTTCCGGCACCAACGATCCACAGGGGACCTCCTAGCTTACGTCACGCCACTGTGGAGTAAACTCATCCAGTCTCATGGTGAGGCTCATGTCGTTGCTCTTGACATCACGAAAGCGTTCGATCAGCTGTGGCACGCTGCCCTCTTAAGCAAACTTCCGTCCTACGGCCTCCCAGAAAAGCTTTGCAGATGGGTGGCTGACTTTATCTCTGGCCGCAAGATATCCGTCGTAATTGACTGATTCTCCTCTTCATCCCACAACGTCAACGCGGGTGTTCCCCAGGGATCGGTCTTGGCTCCAACACTGTTTCTCTTACACATCAACGACCTCCTTTCCTGCATGATCAACCCAATCCACAGCTTCGCTGATGACAGCACTCTACATGCAGGAATTCAGAGTGACAAGCCGATCTCTGCCGCTGAGCTGGAAAAAAGAAGACTAGCGACGACTTCTTCTCTGACAAGAGACCTGGAGGCTATCACTGCTTGGAGACGCAACAATCTTGTACAGTTCAATGCTTCCAAAACACAGTATTGTACTTTGACGAACAAAAAGCGTCCTAGCGCTCATACAGTTTCGATGGACGGTCGAGTTCTACCAAAGAGCCATTCATTTCGGCTGGTCGGAGTCCAGATCACCGAGGACCTGATCTGGCACGAACACATCTCTTCAATAGCTGCAGCTGCTGGGAAAAAGCTAGGCTATTTGTTTAGGGCTAAGAAGTACTTTTCTCCGCATGACCTTCTCACTCTATACAAGGCCCAGATAAGGCCTAGCCTCGAGTATTGCTCACACATTTGGGGTGCTGCCGCCCCGACTACATTGTCCATGCTCGATGCTGTCCAGAGGAGGGCGGTCCGACTGATCGATGACTCTTCTCTAACAGACAGTCTCGGGACTCTTTCGCACCGGCGGGCCGTCGGCGATCTAGCTCTTTTCTATCGCTACACCAACGGGCTTTGCTCCTCAGAGCTCTCTTCCATGATGCCGCCGCGCGATGTGTCTGCCAGACAGACCCGCCTGACTTCGGCGTCCCATCCTAACCGTGTCAAACTTCGTACATCCAGAACTGGCCGATACGACCGCTCCTTTGTCCCGAGGGTGTCTAGATTGTGGAACAATCTACGGGAGGAAGCTTTTCCCAGTTCTACTAACCTTAGGCAGTTCAAAAATCGCATTAACAAAATTTCTTTGGGATCATCATAGCAGCCGCGGTGTTCCGGCATTTAGGCTTCTGCCTGCGCGGCTGTTTCGGTATATATATAAAAAAAAGTGCATTTCTTTTTGTGGAATCCAGTGTTTTGCAATACCTTTCTCATTCCTAAATTATTGGTCAAAATGCGATGGAATCTTTAGAAATATATAATTACATTTCTATGTATCTCAGTGAAGATTTTGGATCATTTTTGATAAATTCACGCACTTTTTCGACGTGTATTCACAAATTTTGGTTGGCCAACATGTTCGTCGTCTTCCAGCGACTCACGACCCTTTATGAACCTTGGAAACCACTCGTGAACTGGGCTACGAGCTAAACAATCATCGCGATACACTTGCATCAACATCTGATGCGTTAAGGTAAATGTTTTACCAAGTTTAACACAGAACTTAATATTGGTTCTTTGTTTGATGCAAATTTTTCGACCAATGCTAAAAAGGTAGACATAGATGGGGCTACGTGCATCGGAGATATTTCAAAAGTTCTGTTTACTTTGCGACAGACCTTCTATAACCTCTGGATTTGTCTTCGAGGTAAAAAATTCTTAAATCCTTTTTATAGGTGTGTTTTTGTAGTTTTGAACTAAAAAATTTAACCTCTTAGTCAAAGGTCTATTAGGTAATTTGGTATGTAGTTACCAATTTTTGAAAAAAGATTCAACTCCCAAGACATTTCAACTTTGGCAGGATACAATCACTAAAATTTGACAAATATAGGTAATTTTTTCGTGGGTGGTAACCCATTGTAACAAAATGCTAGTTGGGTGTATTTTTTTAAATGTACTTGTCAACTAAAGTGTCCAATTTGCGTTTTTTTAGGAAATGGAGCAGTAACACTTCCAGCAGTTCCTCAGCAGCCTCAGCAGTGGCAGCCTCTCCAATAATTCCAGCAGCGCAAGTAGTCGCTCCTGCTCCTGAATCGCCTTCAGTCGACGTGGCTTCGCAAAATGCTGAAGTCACCGACGGAGAATGGACCTACGATCCCAACGAGCCCAGATATTGCCTTTGCAACCAGGTGTCTTACGGTGATATGGTGGCCTGCGATAACGAGGATGTAAGTATCATTTTATTTTCTGAGACTCGGCGAAGTTATGAAATTAAAAAAAAAAGATATATTTTTTTGGATTTTATATGACATGCGCATCACGAAAAACAATAAAACACATCATCTTATTTCCATTAACTAACTTCTTTAATATGTGACTAAAAACATCTTTCTTGAATGTCTCAAGCTGGCTCTTAAACCATTTTTCAAGAAAGCAGGGATGATAGCGACTCACTTTTTTCAGTACATCTCATTTTTTATTGAAAACATTCACTTTTCTCACTATTTATGCTCTCGTTGTCCATATTGTAGTTTATGAACGTTTTCGAGGGAGCTGACGTAGTTTATTAAATGAAGTGATTTTTTTTTATAAAAATCAACTATGACAAAGTTGTCCATGTACAGGGTTCCTACCAATATGTATAATTTGCCCCTTTGGAATTCCCTGTACCACCTGTATACTGGGTGACTTCGAAGTTGAGTCATTTATTTTAACAGTGAGTAGATCTGATCAAAAGAAATGTTTTTTCCTTTACCATTTTTCTGGTAAAATTAAAGTAACAAAGTTATAGCCCTTTGGGAGTTTGAGTACCGCCCTGTCTCAATAATAATATTATGTGCTCGTGTTTGGCGACAACGGATATAATCCGCCTTATCGGTTCATCGCATCAGAAACAAAAAAGCGAAAGAATTTGGAACGATGTTTTTACAATTATTTCATTCAGTTGTATACAGTCAGTATCAGTCGGTAGTGAATAGTGGTGTCTGTTGCGTGGCTCAAACGAAATAAAAAATGGCACATGTTTATGTGGATCGGTTTCCCAATCGAGTGCTACCAACCCCTCGTGCCTTTGTTAATGTAGTACAACGGGTTCGTGAATCAGGTGACTTAAGACCTCACATATGGACGGCATGCCGGTGCTCCAAGACCTCACGATCAAATACAGGTCCGTACTGAAATATTTGTCGTTAGGATACTTTATAAAACAAGGTAAATTTTTTTTTTATTTTTTTTTATTTTTACACAGATATTTTGGTTTATCTTCCTTCTACAATCATTATCTGAAAATTAATGACTCAACTTCAAAGTCACCCTGTATAGTCGTACGATGAGGACAATCATTCTTTACTGCAAGTGTCATTTCTTCTAAGCAGTGGTCTATGCTTAAACCACGCGAAAAGTTATTCCGTAAAACTACCCTTATCTCACTACGTGACCCCGATGCCATAGTCCGCACTTTGCACTGTCAATACGAATGAACAACTAAATCAATAGGCGTGCTGCTGGCGGATTCTATGCACTCATGGACATGTCTCAACATGCAGTAACATGCAGCCTCCTGCGTGCCACCATTTTGAATCTAATATGGCGTATGCTACATAATAACGATTTATCATCATTTCCATAGTATATGATATGGGTATCAAATGGAAGAGCTTGATGAGAAACTGAATAAGCAAACTCGTCATTCTAAATCCGGATGCCGAAATTTGGCGATTTATAATTTCCATAGTCACCCCTATAATAAGGGCGTCAGATGAAAGTTCTTGATTCGAGAAACGCAATAAGCAAAATATCATCTCAAATCAACTATGTCGACCGCTGCAAGATGGCGTTTATAATTTCTATAGTTACCCCTATTATATGGTTATCGACTGAAAGGGCTTGTTGAGAGAGATTCAGTAAGCAACGTGACGTCATTCTAGATCCAATATGGCGGCTGCCACAAGGTTCTGTCCTAGGCCCCATACTCTTTCTCATCTATATTAACGACCTCCCAAACAATGGGATAATGCCCAAATATACCCTTTTGCAGATGACAAATCAATATATTTTTCAGCTAACTCTATGCTGGAACTACAACTGAATTGGGAAAAGTCAGAATCTGAGTTTATTCCATCAAGCTGTTGCTAAATATCCAAAATGAAGATTTAGATTTTTAGGTAGCAAAGCCACATTGATGTTCTTTCCATAAAACTTGCTCAGAATATTCATGTCCACTACAACTTATTGCGAGAAGTGCCGCCAAATATAGTATACTGCTTATTTGTTACTGTAAGTGTCCGTTGTAGAGGGGCGTCAGTGTAAAAGAAATAGAAGAATAGAAGAAAATCGTGTTTTTAATGAAACTGAATATATTAAAGAAACTGAGACATTTGAAACGTATATGTATATAAATGCTTTTAAAATAAACAAAAAACTTCAAACTCAAGAAAAAAGATTGTTACTTTTAGATATACAGGGTGTCCCAGAAGTCGACGTCAAGCCGAAACCGGGTGATAGGCAAAGTCATAACAGCTATCAGAAAAATATTTAAAAAAAAAATATGTATGTGTTTTGAAAATTATAGGTCTTTGAAAAAAATATAGAAATTTCACACCCTACGGCAGTCTGTCAACTCGTGTTACTACAAATATTAACTTTTTTTGGATTTTATTTTTACAATGTAATGATGAATAATGCATCTTCAAACTGGTGTCTCAACCTTACTGCCAACTTTTCTCGTTCAGGAAAAATTGCCACTTATTTCCCAACCAAGTATTCCAAAGTGAAACTTTGCTCAACTTTAACTGGCTGAACAGGAAAAAAATATACTAGGAGAGTTTGGCAAGTAACCTTAAAAGTTGGCGCATTTAATGAGGATTCCAAAATGGTATAAATCTTAGAAGATTACTCGTTAACTTATGCACAATTTTTATTTGAAGAAAAACTGATGAAAATTTTTCAAAATTTCCTAATTAAACAGCGATTATGAAAACACACAAGGACCCTTAAGGATAACTGTTTGCACAACAGTGGGCGTTAAAATGCTGCTGCTGATGATTTACCTTTACAGCAAATGCTCAAACTGTTTTCCTTCAGCCGCAATACACGCTCGACATCTTCTTAAAAAAGATCGGGTTATTAAACGAGCGAATCCTCGGTTATTAACAAACTCAGTTGCTTCCAATAGTCTTTGCCGTAGCTCAGCTACATTTTGAATCGGCTTGAAACACACCTTTTCTTTTACAGTTCCCCAGTAAAAAAAATCTAACGGAATCAAATCTGGAGACCGGGCTGGCCACGGTATTGTACCAGACCGCCCTATCCATCTGCCTGGAAAGTTTTGATCGAGATACTCTCTCACTGAGAGTGCATAGTGCGCTGGGTAGCCATCATGCTGAAACCACATGTCCCTGTAAATACTCAGTGGCACGTCCTCCAATAAATTTTCTAAATGATTTTGCAAAAAAACCTGAATAAACCTCAGCAGTCAAAGTCTCTGGGAACTCAAACGGACCGATTATTTTACCATTTAAAATTCCTGTCCAATGGTTTATCTTGAAGCGATATTGAGATTTATCTTCTCCCATCAAATGTGGGTTTGCTACGTGCCACTCGTGTAAGTTATGCAATTTCATGTACCCATCTTTCTTAAATGTGGTTTCATCTGACCATAAAATTTTTTCAAAGAACCGTGGATCTTCCCTGTGTCTTTCTAACATTGTGCGACAAAAAGCAACTGGGGGCTCATAATCCCGGGGCAGAAGAGCTTGAACACGCTGTACGTGGTATGGATGGAGCACGTTTTTTTGCAAGATTCTATGGGCTGTACTTTTGGGCACACCTGTTTTTAGTTCTATTGCACACACTGAAGTACTCGGGTCTTCTTCGACAGCTCCTAGCACCACGTCTTCGTAAGGAAGGAGAGATCTTCCCTCACCGTGTGATTGGTTTGGTAGTTGGCCCTCTGAGAACAGTAAGCGGTGCACATTTGTGAACACTCGATGATCTGGATGACGAGCTGCATTCGGGTACCTCTCACAGTAAAGTCTCGCTGCAGCACTAGCGTTGACTTGTACGGTGTACACGGACATAGCGGCACTGCACAATAACACTATCAAAGATAGTCTAAGGAAAGCAAATGTTATTTTGAAGAGCAATTAAACAGTCCAAATCCAAATCACAAGCGATCAACAGTCCAGTTCACGAATCCAAAATTAGTAACAGTACGAAATCAACAAGCACGAACATGTAAAGATGCGCAGTAAACGAAGGAGTACTGATCGGTATCAAAGTGTGCAATAGCAAGTAAGTGATGTGCTTCATCCATACCACATACAGCGTGTTCAATCTCTCCTGCCCCGGGATTATGAGCCCCGAGTTGCTTTTTGTCGCACAATGTTAGAAAGACACAAGAAAGATCCACAGTTCTTTGAAAAAAATTTATGGTCGGATGAGACCACATTTAAGAAAGATGGGTACATGAACCTGCATAACTTGCACGTAGCAAACCCACATTTGATGAGAGAAGATAAATCTCAATATCGCTTCAAGATAAACCATTGGACAGGAATTTTAAATGGTAAAATAATCGGTCCGTTTGAGTTCCCAGAGACTTTGACTGCTGAAGTTTATTTGGATTTTTTAAAAAATCATGTACAAAATTTATTGGAGGACGTGCCACTGAGTATTTACAGGGACATGTGGTTTCAGCATGATGGCTGCCCAGCGCACTATGCACTCTCAGTGAGAGAGTATCTCGATCAAAACTTTCCATTCAGATGGATAAGGCGGTCTGGTACAATACCGTGGCCAGCCCGATCACCTGATTTGAATCCTTTAGATTTTTTTTACTGGGCAACTGTAAAAGAAAAAGTGTATTTCAAGCCGATTCAAAATGTAGCTGAGCTACGGCAAAGACTATTGGAAGTAGCTGAGTTTGTTAATAACCGTGGATTCGTTCGTTTAATAACCCGATCTCTTTTAAGAAGATGTCGAGCGTGTGTTGCGGCTGAAGGAAAACAGTTTGAGCATTTGCTGTAAAGGTAAATCATCATCAGCAGCATTTTGACGCCCACTGTTGTGCAAACAGTTATCCTTAAGGGGCCTTGTGCGTTTTCATAATCGCTGTTTAATTAGGAAATTTTGAAAAATTTTCATCAGTTTTTCTTCAAATAAAAATTGTGCATAAGTTAACGAGTAATCTTCTAAGTGTTATACCATTTTGGAATCCTTATTAAATGCGCCAACTTTTAAGGTTACTTGCCAAACTCTCGTAGTACATTTTTTTCCAGTGTACAGCCAGTTAAAGTTGAGCAAAGTTTTACTTTGGAATACTTGGTTGGGAAATAAGTGGCAATTTTTCCTGAACGAGAAAAGTTGGCAGTAAGGTTGAGACACCAGTTTGAAAATGCATTATTCATCATTACATTGTAAAAATAAACTCCAAAAAAAGTTAATATTTGTAGTAACAGGAGTTGATAGACTGCCGTAGGGTGTGAAATTTCTATATCTTTTTCAAAGACCTATAATTTTCAAAACACATACATAAAAATTTTTTAAATTTTTTTCTGATAGCTGTTATGACTTTGCCTATCACCCGATTTCGGCTTGACGTCGACTTCTGGGACACCCTGTATACAAAGTATATACATACATATGTATATTATAATATGATGTATGCACATACATATGTATGTAGTAACACAAAACAATGAAATAAAGTCACTTAAAGGACGCAAACATTCATATATTGTCGTGTGTCTCCTCTTTTTCTTCAAAATGGCGACTTGCAATCCTATTTCTAATATAGCAAAGAGCTCCCAGGACTGTGGAACTTCCTGATTTTCGACAAAACTTTTGAGCAGCTTAGACAGGGTAATAGCTTTACCATAATTTGGAATAGCTTCCGTTGCTACTGGAACCTCATTGACATCAGAATCTTCGGAAAGTTCTTGTATGTCAACTGGATTTTCAATTTCTTGGTCTGAATCTGGATCTTCAAAATACAAACTTTCACCTAGGTTCGATAAATCATAAAGGTTTTCATATCAATTTCAATAAAACTTCATTTTTGAGGATATATGAAAATGCATTACGCAGAAAGTCATCTTCTACGTCAGGTGTATCAGCCTCATTTAACTGGTCACCTTGTATATTTTCATCCTTGAATACTGCTTTGCGGAAGCAATTTCGCAGTTTCTTTGGTTACTTGGTCCCAAGCGGTTTTTGCCAAATAAACTGCATCCAATGGCGTAATTTTTTTTATTAACTCAAAAGCTGTACCAGCAGTTTCAATGTTTACTAGCACATGTTTGAGTATTAGACTTCGGTTGACAAGCTGATGTACAACTAGGGGGCAACAATAAGATTTTTATATTATTTAGGCCCGTATCATCAGTCGTCCCTACAATTGTAGGACGCGTTTATGGCCTCCTTGATTGTCATACTCCTTTCTCTCCTTCAAAAATTTCTAGATTACACTTGTCCCGTGTCAGCGTCAGCGCTCTGCTATTGTGAAGATATGTTTTCTTTTTAAATTTTAGGAAATTTCAGGCTGATAAAACATGATACAACTCAAAAGCAAGCACAATTTGATGCAAATAGATGTTTGTGACATAACCTCAAAATAGAGTTCTGACACGGAGAAGTAGAAAACTACGACAATCAAGGAGGCCATAAAGGCGCCCTACAATTGTAGGGACGACTGACGATACAGGCCTTAAGCGAATGTCTTTTGGATGAGATCCCGCATTGTCTAAAAATAGCAAAATGTTTCTTTCTTCTTTAGCCATTTTCCAATCTCGGTCTTGCAGCCACTCTGTCATATTTCGAGCCATTTCTACAATTAATGTGTCGCCCACTGTGTCTTTTCCGCATAGACGTCAGACTAGTACTGAAAGGAAATTTAATTAAAAGCGTGTACCCAAAGAATAAGAACAGTAAATCCCCGATCAACGGGCAGCACATAGGCAGCGTTTGTACCGAAATATTAAATTGAATTTTTCTTTTTACAGTGTCCATCAGAATGGTTCCACTACCCTTGCGTCGGTATCACGGCACCACCAAAAGGCAAGTGGTACTGTCCTCAATGCACAGCTACCATGAAGAGAAGAAGAAAGAACTGAATTCTAGATGATTATGTGTGAACGTGTTTTGATTAGTTTTGAGTGCATTATGATGTGTGATTAGTATTCGTTTGTTATCTGTTACGCTTATACATCTCTTTGTGTTTATATTTACGTTGTATATATCTAGTAAAGTTTTAAAATGGTGAGAACTGATATTTTAATTTTACTTTTTCTGATATACAGGGTGTCCCAGAAGTCGACGTCAAGCCGAAACCGGGTGATAGGCAAAGTCATAACAGCTATCAGAAAAATATTTAAACAAAATTTATGTATGTGTTTTGAAAATTATAGGTCTTTGAAAAAGATATAGAAATTTCACACCCTACGGCAGTCTGTCAACTCCTGTTACTACAAATATTAACTTTTTTTGGATTTTATTTTTACAATGTTATGATGAATAATGCATCTTCAAACTATTGTCTCAACCTTACTGCCAACTTTTCTCGTTCAGGAAAAATTGCCACTTATTTCCCAACCAAGTATTCCAAAGTAAAACTTTGCTCAACTTTATCTGTCTGTACTGGAAAAAATGTACTACGAGAGTTTGGCAAGTAACCTTAAAAGTTGGCGCATTTAATAACGATTCCAAAATGGTATACCACTTAGAAGATTACTCGTTAACTTATGCACAATTTTTATTTGAGAAAAAACTGATGAAAATTTTTCAAAATTTCCTAATTAAACAGCGATTATGAAAACGCACAAGGACCCTTAAGGATAACTGTTTGCTTAACAGTGGGCGTCAAAATGCTGCTGATGATGATTTACCTTTACAGCAAATGCTCAAACTGTTTTCCTTCAGCCGCAATACACGCTCGACATCTTAAAAAAGAGATCGGGTTATTAAACGAGCGAATCCACGGTTATTAACAAACTCAGCTGCTTCCAATAGTCTTTGCCGTAGCTCAGCTACATTTTGAATCAGCTTGAAATACACTTTTTCTTTTACAGTTCGCCAGTAAAAAAATCTAAAGGATTCAAATCAGGTGATCGGGCTGGCCACGGTATTGTACCAGATCTGCCTGGAAAGTTTTGATCGAGATACTCTCTCACTGAGAGTGCCTAGTGCGCTGGGCAGCCATCATGCTGAAACCACATGTCCCTGTAAATACTCAGTGGCACGTCCACCAATAAATTTTGTATATGATTTTTCAAAAAATCCAAATAAACTTCAGCAGTCCATTAAACCATTTAAAATTCGTGTCCAATGGGTTATCTTGAAGCGATATTGAGATTTATCTTCTCTCATCAAATGTGGGTTTGCTACGTGCCACTCGTGTAAGTTATGCAGGGTCATGTACCCATCTTTCTTAAATGTGGTCTCATCCGACCATAAAATTTTTTCAAAGAACTGTGGATCTTTCCTGTGTCTTTCTAACATTGTGCGACAAAAAGCAACTCGGGGCTCATAATCCCGGGGCAGGAGAGGTTGAATACGCTGTATGTGGTATGGATGAAGCACATCACTTACTTGCTATTGCACACTTTGATACCGATCAGTACTCCTACGTTTACTGCGCATCTTTCATTTTTCGTGCTTGTTGATTTCGTACTGTTACTAATTTTGGATTCGTGAACTGGACGGTTGATCGCTTGTGATTTGGATTTGGATTGTTTAATTGCTCTTCAAAACAACATTTGCTTTCATTAGACTATCTTTGATAGTGTGATTGTGCAGTGCCGCTATGTCCGTGTACACCGTACAAGAATATGCTAACATGCACCTCATTTATGGGGAATGCAGATGCAACGCTAGTGCTGCAGCGAGACTTTACTGTGAGAGGTACCCGAATGCAGCTCGTCATCCAGATCATCGAGTGTTCACAAATGTGCACCGCTTACTGTTCTCAGAGGGCCAACTACCAAACCAATCACACGGTGAGGGAAGATCTTTCCTTCCTTACGAAGACGTGGTGCTAGGAGCTGTCGAAGAAGACCCGAGTACTTCAGTGCGTGCAATAGAACTAAAAACAGGTGTGCCCAAAAGTACAGCCCATAGAATCTTGCAAAAAAACGTGCTCCATCCATACCACGAACAGCGTGTTCAAGCTCTTCTGCCCCGGGATTATGAGCCCCGAGTTGCTTTTTGTCGCACAATGTTAGAAAGACACAGGGAAGATCCACGGTTCTTTGAAAAAATTGTATGGTCAGATGAGACCACATTTAAGAAAGATGGGTACATGAACCTGCATAACTTACACGAGTGGCACGTAGCAAACCCACATTTGATGAGAGAAGATAAATCTCAATATCGCTTCAAGATAAACCATTGAACAGGAATTTTAAATGGTAAAATAATCGGTCCGTTTGAGTTCCCAGAGACTTTGACTGCTGAGGTTTATTTAGGTTTTTTGCAAAATCATTTAGAAAATTTATTGGAGGACGTGCCACTCAGTATTTACAGGGACATGTGGTTTCAGCATGATGGCTGCCCAGCGCACTATGCACTCTCAGTGAGAGAGTATCTCGATCAAAACTTTCCAGGCAGATGGATAGGGCGGTCTGGTACAATACCGTGGCCAGCCCGGTCACCAGATTTGAATCCGTTAGATTTTTTTTACTGGGGAACTGTAAAAGAAACAGTGTCTTTCAAGCCGATTTAAAATGTAGCTGAGCTACGGCAAAGACTATTGGAAGCAGCTGAGTTTGTTAATAACCGTGGATTCGCTCGTTTAATAACCCGATCTTTTTTAAGACGATGTCGAGCGTGTATTGCGGCTGAAGGAAAACAGTTTGAGCATTTGCTGTAAAGGTAAATCATCATCAGCAGCATTTTGACGCCCACTGTTGTGCAAACAGTTATCCTTAAGGGTCCTTGTGCGTTTTCATAATCGCTGTTTAATTAGGAAATTTTGAAAAATTTTCATCAGTTTATCTTCAAATAAAAATTGTGCATAAGTTAACGAGTAATCTTCTAAGTGTTATACCATTTTGGAATCCTTATTAAATGCGCCAACTTTTAAGGTTACTTGCCAAACTCTCGTAGTACATTTTTTCCAGTACAGCCAGTTAAAGTTGAGCAAAGTTTTACTTTGGAATACTTGGTTGGGAATTTGGCAATTTTTCCTGAACGAGAAAAGTTGGCAGTAAGGTTGAGACACCAGTTTGAAGATGCATTATTCATTATTACATTGTAAAAATAAAATCCAAAAAAAGTTAATATTTGTAGTAACAGGAGTTGACAGACTGCCGTAGGGTGTGAAATTTCTGTATCTTTTTCAAAGACCGATAATTTTCAAAACACATACATAAAATTTTTTTAAATATTTTTCTGATAGCTGTTATGACTTTGCCTATCACCCGGTTTCGGCTTGTCGTCGACTTCTGGGACACCCTGTATGTGGCGAGTCATAAATAATTATTGAAATGGATTTTGAAGATCAGACTTTACGAAAAGAAACTAAATGTTCCGAAATTACGCATCCTAGAAAAGCTTTAAGTAAAAGTTGGAGGGTTTCGATGGGTCAAAATGGTGGTCTTGACCGTGACCGTCACTTCGACCTTCAAGGTCAAGAGTTTATTGTCAAATAGAACCCCAGAATTGGAAAGGGGAAGTTTTACGTCCGAGTATAACAACAACTATGACCACAATGACCTTCAAGGCCGTTACAAGGTGAAACTAAGTCAATGAAATTGCTGTAGCATCACCTGTACTGTCAAAATTGTACACGATTGAAGATAAAATTTCGTGCTCTGCAGTTTCTGCATATAAATCAAGGGGTTGCCTTACAAATAACTTTGGGTGACCCTTACAAGCTGCTATATCTTCTTCATGTTTATATTCGAATTCAACTCGCCAAAATACCTTGGTTTAGGAAGTTTTCTTCAGTTCTAGCAACAGGGGAGAAAACAATACAAATTAATAATTATTTATTACAAAAATAGTAATACAACCAATCAAACATGCACACATTCAAATAAACATTAACTCAATATTTGAACATTCTGATTTCAACAACAAAGCAGTATCTATGTATGTATGTATATATATATATATATAGAGTTTATAGAAATATAGCGGGTAAAAAATGCCTACTATAAATTACAATTTTGTGATCAAAAAAATATTTCAATTTTTCCTCTAAGTTGGATTACGTATTTTCGTAAAATCAGTCTTAATAATATACTATATAGGAATATATTCTTTTTGAAGAAATAAATTTGCTAAGAAAACTCTATAACGATTTTTAAACAGAAAATAATTACTATTTTGAAAACGTTTCAACTTAAGTTATGGTTCTACATTTATTCAAAAATACATAAATCCACAAAACTTCCACAGCTATTGAGGGGTCCATAAACATCTTTGAGGCATTTTTTTTATTTAAACCTGGAAATCTCAACCTTAGCTCCATTTGGTGCCCTAACTCTGTAAGGAGTGGCTCCGCCTGAAATAATAAAAAACATACTGAAAAACAAAGGACTCTTTAAGTGGAAAAGATGACAAGGTCATGCAAATTATCCAATTCTTCGTATTATTTTCACTTACCACGTCTAATAAGGTCCTTTAGGGCTGCAATCCTACTTTATGCTTAGAAATACCTAAAACAAACAAATATGTATATTTATTTTATCCTGCATATTCCCAATGATTAACGAGTTGTACCTGAAAATAGCCAACCTAGATAGTATATTTGTTAGTATGTATAGTATTTGGCTTAGGAAAACGAAATATATTGATTTCAATTTTTTAAAAGCGCAAGATGAATCTGAGAAAACTCTATATTCCATGATGTGATGTCATACAACATGTAAACAAAGAAACGTCATCTGTATGTCACTTGTGGAATAACGTATTCTTCTTTATAAAATTTCTAGAAAACTCCTACCCAACGTAAAAGTAATCTTTTTTTCGTTTTAATAAAAAAAAACAAACACGGACGTTGGATTCGTACAAGCAGAAAGCTATGCTTTTTAGAAGAGGATTTCTACAATTATCCGAGTGGGAGTTTTCAGGATTATCTGCCTCAATAAATCACTTCCGCAGTCCACAAGAAACAGGAAAACATCGCAACAATTTCTTCATCATTTCTTTACTTACGACGTTTGATAAGTTCCTTAAGTGCAACAATTTTTGCTGCATGTTTTGCCTGTTCATTTTCGGCATTCACACCCTCATTCTGCGATATTACATCACAAATACCATTTTCTACAATTTTGAGTCTTTCAAATTCTTGCATTTGAGGTTCTTCATTCCTCGAATTTTCTGTATAGTTATCGTAAATTTTCAAATTGGCAACATTATTTTGAGTACGATGCCCTTGAATAAATCATATATTACTATTTTTTTTGTATGAATCATCCATCAAATAAATGTATAAAAATAATTTTGAAAAATTCTTACTACGCTTGATGAGGTCTCTCAATGCTGCAATTCTTTTTTCACGTCGAGCCTCATTTTCCTTTATAACATTTTTGTCCATAATAACAGTCTCAATTGTATCACAAATAGGATTTTCAACATTCTTGATCCTCTCCCGTTCTTGATCTCGGAATTCTTTCTTTTTTGAAGGCGGTGCAACATCGAGTTTTCTTAAAACTCCTCGTTTCAGGCACTTTTCTTCGGCATTATAAGTTTGTACATTGAACTTATCCCAAGTTTCATCAGTATCCACAATTATATTTTGAATTGAGTATTGGTTACTAGACTCCCCTAAAATGGAATCATTTCTCCATTTTATACAAGCAGTATGAGATCTTTGTATAAATATGAAGAGTCCAAAGTTGCATGTTTCTAATTTTTCAGTTTGAACAACTCTAAGCCATAAAAAAATCAGAAATACTTCAGAACTAAATTCAAAGAGAGAATATCAAAAAACTAAAATGACACTTATTTCAGTTAAATTATCATGTAAATTAAGGCACTGCTATGATGATGATCTCATATGTCGAGATGCTTAAGTTTGCACTTTTCAATTCCTTTGTTCTAGCCAGGATATAAATAGGAGGTACTTGTAAAAGAATGTGCTTATTTAAAAAGTCGTTCGGTGTTTGCATATTCATAATTTGTATAAGACATAAGGGAAATGTCACATAATCAGTATTTTCTAATTTACTGTGGTCTAACCATTCCATCAGTATCAGTAGACTTCCATGTTACCTTATTATCCTGTATACATAGTCAATTGATATCAAATACAATAATAGATACTGATGGATCACAGTAAATGTATGACAAAACTAAAGGACACATCTTTTTTTTTTTAAATATTAAAAAATAACAAATAAGTTCAGGTAGAGGTCCCAAAATGCCTGCTTACCAAGATAAAAATCATTGCAGTTATAGTTTGGAATTGAAAAACAATATCTTCTGACGAACGGATTAAGATATTGGCTTAAATGTTATACATGTAATGCTAACAACAAACAGGGAAAACCAAATTTGTCTGACGGCTTGAGTTCAATGTTTACGAGAGAGAAGAGCGAAAAGCGTGTGCATCACCACATGTTAGAAAGAGATAAAAGCCAGTTGAGGCGAAGGTCATCACCACACTACCGGATGCTCAGCTTTTCGATTTTCGTCCGCCGGCGCGCACTATATTTTAGTATTAACTACGATACGACAATCCTACCGCTGGTAACCACAGGCCGACAACTCTCAAGGTGACGTCACGAAGCTCCGCCCACATGCGCAACATCCTATCTTCAGTGTATAATCAAATCCAAGCGAACAACCAAAATTTCTGTGTTATGTACCGCGGTTATAGTATGGTTTAAGATGACACACGGGTTGATGACGTCAGTTACTCGAATCGCTTGAACGCGTTGGTTTTAACCGCGGTTTTGTTGCAGGTTGTTTATTTTAGAAATGCGCGTATATTATACCTTAATTTCTGATTATTTTTATTATCACTTAATAATCAGTGCGTCTACAACAGTGATATGGATAGTTTAAACAAGAAAACTTTCATGATATTAATGGGAGAAATGTTTTTTTCCTCAGAAGATATTGTTCATGTGTTGAATCACTTGAGAAAATCGCTGTTATGTTCCCACAAGTTTGTCGTGAATATAAAGGATATGACGCCCAAAATTTTAATGGTGGAACCATGGATTTGTAGCTATGAGAACTTCCAGTTCTTTAAACTTTTCCGTATGTCAAAGAAAACATTTATTGAATTAGCAGAAAAGATAGGAAAAAGCGACGAAAAAAAGATATTAGCAAAGCCATATACAGGTGGCCACTATCCAGTGAGTTTATATGGCCATATTTTAATATTCTTGTGGTATATGGCTACACAGGATACTTTGTTAAGCATAGGAACTAGATTTAAAGTGTCCCCAACAACAGTGATGAGTATAACAAATAAGGTGCTCTACTTCATGCTAAAACTAAAATCAGCCTACATTAAGTTTCCCAAAAATGAAGCTGAAATGAGAGACATTAGTGAAGGTTTCAAGAAGTATCCAGGTAAGTAAACATTTCTGAATACTGCAAACCTAGGGTGATACCGCCCCCTGCATTTCACACAATTACTCCCCTATTGTTACTCTATATTTCCCCCAGAAACCGGTCAATATTTCCTTGGTGGTTTCCCCCTCATGTAAGGCCTAGTCATTAATGTTTTAGAGACAAACAGGTATTTAGTACAATTACTGTATATTATATTCAAACTTTTTTGGTTGGTCCTAATTGATGCCATCACAACCTGTCCTGTAATAGTATTTATTGGAATATACATATGTATTTAGTTAATAAGTTACATCTGTTTCCACTTTTCAGTTTATTATTATTTTCAGGAGTTATTGGAGCAGTAGATGGTACCCACATATTTGTAAAGGTTGAAAAAAGTCAACAAGATAGCTACATAGACCGCTATAGAAGAACATCTATAAATCTCATGGCAATATGTGATTCTAACACTTTATTCACCTATGTGTTTTTAGGATACCCTGGATCTGCTCATGACTCACGGGTATGTGTTAACAAAAATAAGAAGACGCCTCATTTTGAAGTGAATATTTATTACATCTTTATTATATTGCAATAAAACTTCAAACTAGTATTTAAGAGGAAGTGAAAAAAGCTTTGCACCAGTTAAATTTTGTAGGAAAACATTAATATTTTTTTATATTTTTATACTTTAATTTCAGGTTTTTGAAAATTCAATTATGTGCAAAAACATTGAGAGACATGGGCCAAACTTCTACTTTTTGGATACTCAGAAATATCACCTAATTGGTGATAGTGCATTTGCATTAAGAACTTGGCTTATTACTCCTTACCGAGGCGACAATGTGACCAGAAAGCAAAAATTTCACAATTACTGTCTTAGTTCCGACAGAGTAAAAATTGAACATTGTTTTGGGGCATATAAGGGTAGGTGGAGAAGGGTGCAATATATAAATACCTATAACATTTGCAAAGCAGTGGAGATTGCAACAGCTGCATGTGTTCTACACAATTTTTGCATTTTGCATAAAGACACTTGGAGTAACGATTTTTTTGGAATTGACCTGGACAGAAATATAAATCAGGCTGAACTAGAAGATAGGGGTAACATAGAAGCAAAGCGGAAAAGAAATAGAATTGCAGACACTTTATTCTTATGCAGATATAACATAGAATAATATTATTGTACCATCTTTCAATTCAAATTGAATAAAAAACACAATTATTGGTTTGCGTTTTAATTTACTTATCTCTACTTTCATTTTAACTTAATTATTATTCTACACACAAGGTTTGATAGTTATCACAAAAGGTATATTACCTTTTTTTATGGATGGATTGACTTCTACACATTGGCAATGTCTTCCTTGAATAAAACTAAAATATTAGAACAAGAAACTATTTATTACACCATTTAAAAATCTCAAATAAAAACAAAAAGAAATAAATATTAATCGATAATAATCCTAGTCAGTGTCAGAATCGTTTGTATCACTCATTCTTCTTTTTTTTATCCCAAAAGCTGCCTCAACAATTTCTAAGAACCTGTCCTTTTGTTGTTCTGTTTTCTTCAAATGTTGTTTCAAAAAACTAAATTCTTTACTTCTTATTTTTCTATCCTTTTCCATTTCTCTTATCAGGTCATCATGCCGAGAAGGTGTTACCTTTCGAGTTTTTTTGAATCGGCTAACTGGTGTTGTTGTTGAGGGACCCAATTGAGTTTCCTCTGGATCTGTATGATCTGGTTGTTCCTGTTCTATTTCATTTTTCACACTTTCTGATGTTTCATCCATTGAATCCTCTAGATTCAATGGGGTTACCTTATGTTTGCATCCTAAAAATTATATTGGTAAGTACTTCCACCTGTTTTGACTAAGGAATCTAAAGGTACACATTTTTGTTTTTTGATGGTTCATACCAGAATTTTTATAATTACAAACATGACAGAAGAACAATTAAAATATAGTCATGACATACAATAACAATACTACATACTTGCTTAAGATAGTAATGTGAAAGTAAAAGAAGATATTAAACTAACCTAGAATGGAGTGGAGCTCATCAAAAAATGGAGGAATGTCATCAATTCTCTCACTTCCTGTTGTAGTTTGATGCTTCATGTAAGATAAATAAGTTTTTTGCAAATTCGCAAACTTTTGACGACACCGCTCTCCTCCTTTGTTCCCAAGATGGAAATTATTTTTCTCTAACTCTTTTGCTATGTCATTCCACAATTTAAGTTTTCTGGTTCTTTTGTCGTCAAAGTAAGTACTTTTTTCGTCTCTTAAGGACAACATTAAATGAGTTGCTTCATTATCCATTTCAGAAGGCTTCTTCTTTGTCCAAATCATATCATTAATAGATGGTTGAATGGTCGAGTCATTTTCATTGTGGGGCATAGACCATATAGATTGAAAGTCATTCTGAGGTTGATTTTCGGAGTCATTGTGCTCATGCTGAGACCCCAATGGACACATAGATAAAATATATTGCTCTGCAGCAGCAGCATCTAAAATTTCATACCAAACCTATTAGAATATAAAAAATATGCCACTCTCATAATTGATAAATCTTAAAGCAAAGTATGAGAGGTATCCAGTTCTGATACAGAGTTTATTATTGAATATGTGCATACCATGTAGAAAAAGTCACATAATATGTAGGTATCTAGAATCAATAGGGTCAGTTTTACCTTGCACCCCACCTGTTTAATATTTAATTAGCCCATAAATATCAGGCTTTTTCTACAAGGTATACAATATACTTGCTTATCATACTACATATATAGTTACCATTCAAAAGTAAATTGGCTGTTTCAAGGTCTTTAACGCAGACCTCGTAGTCTACGCCTTCATAGTTTAAAGTTAGATAAAATTGCTCCATATTATTTTCAATTTAATAAGGAACTGCAAAACTGCTCTTTTAAACACGCATATAACCTCACAAGTACGACGAAAATATCCAATACCCGCCAAAATTCTAACTTGTCACATTTCAAATAATAACCAGAAATATAAAACTGCTCGGGAGTTGGGTAAATACCACAATTTTGCGGTGATAACTATGACATGTAACAGCTGATTCGTGACGTCACGGATCTTATAACCAAACTGATAACTACACTCGCTTGAACGGATCGGTAAATACCAACCCAAAATGGTAAATACTATTTCCATTTGGTTATCCGCTTGAATTTGATTTATGTGTATCGTGTCATCACCACATTACCTAGCGGCGGTGACGCAGAAGTTCGTGCAATTTGCTGCGTTGCCAATACGTTACAGCAGAAAATGTTCGCACAGGCTTCTACAATAGGTTACGTTACTGTCAAACCTAAGAAGGCGGTCTTTTCGAATATTTTAATATTTTGTTTTCATATTGATTAGAATTATTTCTTCCAATTTTGATGCGACTTAGGGTTTTAATTTATTTTAGACTTATCTTTGATTTTCAACGATGGTGATAAAATCAACACATCATGAGTTATTGTCACATTTTGCGACAGCGAGCTGTCGGGAAATGTACCAAATACCATTATGCAATACAAATTATCACTACCTGCATGTATGCAGGTGAAAACCTTTTCGAAGCAGGACGACACTTCCCAATGAGCGCTAGATGGATACTGACCATAATCACTTATCTATGATCATGTATGTGGAAACCTTGCCTTGGAATGTACGAGATGTGGCGTTGCAAAGCGACCAATGATGCAATGTTGCAGAATTTGTGGCGATCCTGACCTTTCACTTCACCATTAGGACTGATCCGAAATCGACCCTAAACAGATTCAACACAATTCACAATTCAACGAGTATGCTCAAAATAAAACCATTATTTGGGCGTAGAGGATAAACTAACGCATATTTTCAACATGCATCTTAATTCAAGAAATTGGTGTAACATATTGGTAATGCCCTGATGAGCTTCATTATCCAGGTGGCTGCTATCTCTTTCGAACATATTTATGTGTCTATATATACTTCTCTCTAGTACACTTTGCACTCAAGGCTTCAGACAAATTTGGCCCTCAGTGTATAGCCAACATCTACAAAAATTTTGCACCTGAGCCTTTATACAGCACAATAATTTTTTATAACTTATTTAAACATCTATTGCATTTTTGAATGATATACATCATCATTCAATTTTATATGAGTCAGCTCTCATGAGAATTTTTTTACAGACTACCCTTTTCAAGAAATATTTAATTAGTTACAACACCATGATGGCAGATAAGGCATTGAGAAATAAAATTGACTCATTTTCAATATATAAAATTCTAAGTTCATTTTGAAAAATGAAACTTACACTTGGGCTCTGTCCTTTAGTACTTTCTCACATAACAAAAATAATGTGTACAGTACCTTCCTCTTTGTAAATTAAGGCTTCAATGCTCGTCCTACTAGGGCAATGTTCATGGTGATAGTTTAATTCATCTTCTGGCATGTGGTGAGTCGAGTTGAAATCACAAATTGCCAGTTTGATATGAGGATGCTGCAGTTTGCATTTGTAGAGATGTGCAGCAAATCTTTTTTTTTGGATTCTGTGGCATGCATTGTAAGGACAAGAGGCCAGCTCTTCTGCTGAATTCATATTATTGTGACATATAATAAAACTGAGTTTTTAAAACTATCGTGTTTCATCGCCGCACATATTAATTCCACAGTTAAATGCACAGTTCACATACATTTAAATCACATAAGCAGACCTTTTATACGAGACCATTCATAAACACGTTTTAGGTATTAATAATCCACCTGAAAGTTAAAAATCTGGAAAAAAACTTCAAACGGATTATTTGAACCAAACAAATAATCAGCTGGCCATGGCCAACAGGGTTGCCAGGTTTTCAGTCACGTTGGTCGCCAAGTTTTGAAAGACAGAATGTTCAATCCTCAAAGTGAGCACTACCAAAGCTCATTATGGACACATTAATAAACTAAATAATGATATAAATACTCTATGTAATTTAAGCGTGTTTAAAAGAAACCTAAAGGAACATTTCATTGACAGTGGAAATTCTCAGAGATACAAGTTTTGTTTTTTTGAATATTTGTGTACTTATTGTAGTTTTTTAAAAAATAATGTAATTGTAGCAATTATCCTAAATAAATCTTAAACAAACAACATTTTCGGGAATGTTGAGCATCCCAATTACGTCTGCCTTCCACATTTTGAAAACCTCTGATGGCAACTGTGAAATGCTTAGGTACCTATGTTAAATCCTCCCTTGACATCATTGTTTGTTCCAAATGTAAGGAGAAAAATAATTTTTCAAATGGAACTCAATTCTTAAGGAAAGCCTTTAAAATCTTATCTATGTGCCGATACTACTAATATACGCAAATTCGAATACATTAAGTGAATAATAAATTCGTTAGTAGCTGATTAATCGTTGATTCACATTGTGCATAAGAATGATGTGCACTGTGCAGGTATACGTATGCAGCTACTATTGCTTATTATAATTCGCGTTTTGGTTCTGTCATGGGCGGTCGAGACATTAGTCCTCGTTTGGCGAGGTTGAACTCCTCAATGCAAGGACAAAACGTGTGAAGAATAGAACAGAGTATAGGTTATTAGAATGAGGTCAATTCGCGAAACTGCTTCGATAATTACGGAAGGAACGCAAAAACTAAGAAGCTGAATATAAAAAAATATTTGTCGTTTTGTATCACTAGCAACATTGACAAAACCCTTCATTTTTTAGTTTTCATAATATTCAAAATACCCAAGTCTTACAAAACTAGCGTCAAATAAAAAAATGGCGTCAAGTAGATTGACTCTGTTTTCCCACGCAATGCTAGACAAATGGACTTTGTATACGCACGTGGGATCAACTGCTCTTACGTTCTGGTAGCTTCTGTGGTCGGCTATGGATACCATTACAGCTGGTCATATAATGATTGGGGAAAAACTATTGTCAGTTTTTAATTAGGGTAGTGTTGGAAGCAGTGGGCATTCAAGAGAGTTTCGTAACTTTCAATATCGGTATACAATGGAACAAACCACCACCAACCATTAGAACATTAATAATAATCTTTATTTGTTCTGTAGATCATTTATCATGACATAGAGCACGTCAAGGTATTCTATCTTGAAACTTAGAAAAGCATTATAAAAATAGGTAACTAAAAACGAAAACAATACGTATATGAAACATATGACAGTTACAAGAACGATGAACAAAAATACAAGTACATATTAAAATAAATCAGCCAAGTTAAAATATATAAATAAAATAAATAAAATACAAGAACCATAGGTAAATAATACGCTACAGTAAATAATGTAGGTATATGGGACTAATACAGAGCTCACATGTGAAATAGTTAAACATCTTGATCTAGCTGGATATCTAAGAAATATTCGTTCAAAGAATAGTACGCTCTGTGGCTTAATAGAGCTTTGAGTTTACGTCTGAATAATGGCATTGGCAAGGTTTTGAAGGTGTTTGGCAATTTATTGAACAGCCTAATACCCATTTGATGTGGACTGACCTCTGTTCTTGACAGCCTATGAGCAGGAATCTGCTAGCTGGATATCTAAGAAATATTCGTTCAAAGAATAGTACGCTCTGTGTCTTGATAGAGCTTTGAGTTTACGTCTGAATAATGGCATTGGCAAGGTTTTGAAGGTGTTTGGCAATTTATTGAACAGCCTAATACTCATTTGATGTGGACTGACCTCTGTTCTTGACAGCCTATGAGCAGGAATCTGCTAGCTGGATATCTAAGAAATATTCGTTCAAAGAATAGTACGCTCTGTGTCTTAATAGAGCTTTGAGTTTATGTGTGAATAATGGCATTGGCAAGGATTTGAATGTGTTTTGCAATTTATTGAACAGCCTAATACCCATTTGATGTGGACTGACCTTTGTTCTTGACAGCCTATAAGCAGGAATCTGCAGGACAAGCGCATTCCTAGTCGAGTACTTATTATGATCATACAATTTTGGAACCGCTAGGTTAGATTTCACATTTGTCAGCAGCTCAAAGATATACATTGATGGTAAAGTTAATATTCCCAGCCGCTTGAAAGAATCTCTGCAGCTGGTCCTTCTGCTCAGACCTAACAGTGAACGCACGACTCTTTTTTTGCATAGTGAATACTCCAATTGCTTCTATGGAACCACCCCAGGATATGATACCGTACGAAATTGTGGAGTCTATATATACGAAATAGTAGGTTCATAGCAAAGATCTATCGACCATAAAGCGTAGCTGACTGATGCAGTACAGGAATGGGGCGATCTTTTTGCATGTATAATCAATGTGAGCATTAAACTTTAGGCAACTGTTTATATGGATACCCAAAAATTTGACAAAGCCAACCTGATGAATGGAACTATTGAGAGACTTGACCAGCAAGCTGCGATCGAGGTTATGGTTTGCATATGAGAACTTAAACTGCGTCTTGCTTGCATTGAGCAGCAGCCCATTATCCAGGAACCATTGCTGTGTACTCCGGAGCTCTCCAGTAGCACTTTCCGCCAGCGGTCGGTATTTACCAATAATGATGTATCATCGGCATACATAACATATTTAGTGCTACTGAAGTCATTCACAACAATTATATACAGCAATGGTCCCAAGATAGAACTCTGTGGGACTCGCACTTCACTTAAGCGCCTCTCTGATCTGTACTTCGTGATTTCGACGTAGTAGTATCTGTTGGATAAATAGTTACGAAACCATTCAAGTGGAAGTCCCCTTATTCCATACCTTTCAAGTCTCATCATGATTCACCAGGTCAAAGGCTTTGCTGAAATCAATGAATATACCAATCCTTTTTTTGCCCGTGTCAAGATCGCCATGAAGAAATTGATTATTGCAGTAGTAGTCGACAAACCCTTGCATTGAACAATTGATTTTTGTCGAAGTATTTCACTATACATACCTATAGCTACGTACTTTTCTAGTTTTCAACATAACTGGAGTCTCCTTTCTTGTAGATGGGAATGATTTTTGCGATTATCAAGCAACTGGGAATCTTTCCCTCCTCTAAAGAGATATTTACTATGTAGGTAACTACACCAGCAATCAAGTGGGAGCGTTGCTTTACAATATTTGTACTAACGCCATCTTCACCAACAGAGTCAGGTGGCTTTAAATCTTTAACTATCTGCAGGATGTCCTGTTCGCAGGCAGGATAGAAAAAGAAGAAAAAGAAGCTATGGCAAGTCCTTGATTGTACTGACGTATTGCTTGGTGTAACTGACAATTTTTCAATGCTATCCGTGAGGTGGTTGTTGAACATTGTTGACTCTTGATGTGGACTATCAGTAACTGAGTCTCCATTTTTGATACTGATGCGATTATTAGTGGAAGATTTAGGTTGTAATACTTTTTCATATTTGCATCTATGTGAGCCAACTGGTATAGTTCTTTCAGTCGTTGACCAGAAATAATTAACAGGTCGTTAACCAAGGTTTCCTTTTTTTTAATTTTTGAAGATATACATTTCTCTTTGAGAGGAAAGGCTAACTCAAAATAATATTTAAATGCATCTAGAAAATAATGAAACTTATTCTCCTCATCACCACCATTATTGTAAACATCATACCAGTGTTCCTTCCTTAATATACTAAGTGACATATAAATCCGAACACCCAGTTTAAATGGTTTTATTTTAATAAAAGTTGGTGAATGTATTTATCTTACTGTAAATAACAAGTGAAAAAATTTTCAGCCTTATCAGTTGGACATTCCGGTTTTTATACTGCTTTTTTTAATTCACTAACGCTCTAAAAATGAATGTTTCAGCCGCAGTAAAGAATCAACGTTGGCGGATTTTGGTTCTTGACATCCTTTACGATCGGTTACGATGCCTAGAGTACGGAGACCTGTACGATTTCGTCAACTTAGTGAGTTTGATAGGGGCCGTATAGTGGGACTTCGAGAAGCTGGACTTTCTTTTCGGGCAATTGCAGTTAGAGTGCAAAGAAGTGTAGACACTGTGGTTAGGTGTTGTCAGGCATGGCTTCGAGAAGGCCGTACGCAAAGAGCAAGGGGCACTGGACGCCGCCGTAGAACAACAGACCGTGAAGATCGCCGCCTATGATTATTGGCCTTAAGGGAACGTTTCTCCACTACCAGGTCCATTGCAAATGAATGGTTTGCAGAGCACGGAAGACCTATTGGCATGCGAAGTGTTTACCGATTAATGAGAAGTTTTGGCTTGTTTTCATACCGGCCACACTGGGTCCTCCCTTTAACTCGAGAACACCGACGTAATGGCCTTGACTGGTGCAGATAACGGTCACTCTGGGATCAGGAATGGAACAGTATTGTCTTTAGTGTCGAGTCTCGATTTTGTTTAGGCATGCACGATGGTCGTGCCGGGGTTAGAAGGCGACGTGGTGAAAGGAGGAATCCACAGTTTTTTGTTGAAAGACATGTTCATCACACTGTTGGAGTTATGGTTTGGGGTGCTATAGCTTATGGTTCCAGGTCACCTTTAATCTTCATCAGAGGTAACATGAACGCGCAGCGTTATATCCACGAAGTTCTAGAACCCCATCTTTTACCCTATCTTGACACCCTTGCAGATCCAACTTTCCAACAAGATAATGCCCGACCACATGTTGCAAGAGTCACAATAGACTTCTTTCAACATAATGATGTCACATTGTTACCATGGCCACCAAGATCTCCGGACTTATCCCCAATTGAGCACGTGTGGGATATGATGGGTAGGAGATTGCTCAATTTGCAACGTCCTCCTCAGACTCTAGAAGCACTTCGAGAGGAGTTGGTGGTTGCCTGGAATGAGATACCACAGGAGGACATTGACCACCTGATCAGAAGCATGCCTAGGCGCGATGGAGAATGCGTAGCACATCAGGGTGCATCCACACATTATTAAAGGTCAAAGGGCTTTAAAGCAGTGCAATCATTTTTAAATTTTTATCATTTACTTATTATGCTTCATTAAGTACTTATACAAAATTTTATTAAAATAAAAC